CCTTTTATGATATTTTCAGTTATTAGAAGGATTGTGGTTGCTTTGGGAGATGAACCTCCAGGGTCATTCCAGGTTCTCAAGTTTCCTTTATCTTCCGTTTTGGAATGAGACAAATACTGCTGCTGTTTCTGCAGACAGGAGGATTCCTGCCTTTGGGGCAACAGAACACTCATTAATGGGAGAAAGTTATACTTTGAGAAAGAAGTCAGTGGTGTCCAGATGTTGCTGATTTTCCCCCCCCTCTAAAACAGGAGCGGTGCATGTCACAACTGCACATTCAGATGGTATACACACGCAATAATTTGGTCTCCGTTGCCATGGTCTAATTTGGGTTTTAAAGGGAGCTGACCTAGGGTTGAGTCATCGTGGTTTGTGACGCAGAATTCATTTTTCCACACAGCGTATCAAACACCACCCATGACAAACCCTGCTCTTAAAAAGTCAAAGTACTTCTCTTTTCCAGTTCTACGCCCAATGATGTCAGTGCAGAACATGCACCTTGTTTACTTATTTTTACTTGCATGCCACACAAATGTTTCTTTGATGCATTGATTAAAATGGCCTTACAGCTTGTTATAACAAGTACATTATCTCAATGAACCTAAGTTATCTCAATTTGCCTGAGTTCTGTATATCTTTTGTTTTTGTACTGTATGCAAGTCAGTTCCCTAGACCATTACTTTATGCTGAGTCTCTGTCTTGCAGTCTGCAGCAGACATATGAAGCCAAGCGACAAGAATTCCTTGGGGAGCTTCAGAAGAGGGAGGAAGAAATGAGGCAGATGTTTGTCCAGAGAGTTAAGGAGAAGGAAATGGAGCTGAAGGAGGCTGAAAGAGAGGTGCTTGATTATCACTGTCCGTCCATCCCATCCATCCATCCATCCATCCATTCTCTACCACTTATCCAGGTCTCGGTCACTGGCGGAGCTGGCCAGACCGCTTCTCCCCAGCCACCCCCTCCAGCTCCTTTGGGAGAATACCAAGGCAGTCCCAGGCTAGTCCAGAGATGTAATCTCTCCATGATGTCCTGGGTCTGCCCCAGGGTCTCCTCCTTGTTAGACATGCCTGAAACACCTCCCCAGGGAGGCATCCATGACAGATGCCAGAACCGCCTCAGCTGACTCTTTTAGATGTAAAGGGGTGGCGGCTTTACTTTGAGCCCCTCCCAACAACACCCTGCAAAGGAAGCTCATTTCTGTCCGTGATGTCATTCTTACGGTCATTACCCAGAACTCATGACCGTAGGTGAGGGTAGGAACGTGGATCTACCAGTAAATCAGTAGCTAAAATTGGAACAAGCAAAGTAAAACTTAACAATGTGTACATTTATCATCGCTATATAAAGTTATCATTGTGCTAACAGACAAATTAATTATACATGTCACAAAAGAATTAAATGTTATCTTGAAGTGAAGGTGTAACATTAATGTTATTCTATGTCTGCATGAGTTTAATACCTCAGTCCAAAGTTATGTAGTTCGGAGAATTTATGTCTCTAAATTGGCCTTAGTGTGTGTGACTATTGCCCTGTATCCTGGGGTAGGCTTCAGGCTCTACCCTGATTAACTGAGTAGTTATGGAACATGGATGGCATGAGCTTTTTCCATCAGCTGCTGCCACCTTGTGGTCATTTTTAGAACTGCAGCCAATTCTTCTATCTTAAATTCAGTTGCAGGCCAAGTTTGAGCAATTGAAGAGACTTCACCATGATGAGACAAGCAAGCTGGATGAGAAGAGGAGGATGCTAGAGGACGAGATCAACACTTTCAACAAGAAGAAAGCTGCCACTGAGCTGCTTCAGGCTCAGGCCTTTAACACTAATGCCAACATTAAAAAAGACAAAGATCGCAAGAAGTGAGTGCTTCCAGTCCCTATTTAATAACAAGTCTTTAAATGAAGTTAAAATGCTGCTTGCAGCAAAAGAAAAAAGGCCTTGTGTTAATATCTGATCTTGGTGCTTTCTTTGAGTCTTTAAGTAACCATGTTGACGCTAAGTTAAATAACTTATAAAACATATATTTTGCACTCTGTTCATAAACTATTTTTAGGCTTTGTGGCCATGCATAGAGGGCCTGCAGTGTGTGGGAAAACCTCTGGTAACATTGTTGTTTTAATAGTCAAGTCTGTCCAAGGATGTTAAAATAGTGCACACACAGGTCAGAGTTGCTGATGCTGGTTCAAGTGTCCATAGCAGTTTACACAGTAGCAATTATTGCTAATGGTAATAGGACATTTCAGGCCAGTGTCAGAATGTGCATGCAGTAATTTTGGTTTTGAAATGAATTCTCATTATTTCATCTTAGGGTTATGATGCACAGGGCAACTTTTTGAGCAGTGTTGCTGGGCAGTTGCCAACCAGGTCAGAAAATGGGCAACTTATCTGGATCCAAACGGTCACAAACATTTGCCCAATGCCAATCAAAGATTTTCAATTAGAAATTTGTTGTCCAATATGTCCAATGGGAAAGTGTCCGAGTAACTTTTGCCGGCAACATTGCCTAAGAAGTTGCCCTGTGTATTTTCACCCTTAGTCTCTGAATTGGACCAAACTCATTTCACAAGCAGGAAACTTGTTGGTGGGAACTTGCCCTTTTCACTGAATTAGGCTACACTGGTCCTCTGCTCCTGGGCCAGTATAAATTGTCTCACTTCCCTGTTTGTATTTTAAACAGAATTATACATTGCTAAAACACACCTCATAAGGATTTATTATTGTTAACTTGTATAAGTTTTACTAGGTAATTTTCCTCCTTACATATTAACCCTCATCACCCAAAGCAAGTTGTTTTGGTCTTTCAGCTTTAAATATGGCTGTTGGTTCCATTCAGTGCCTGGATTCTGACTGGCGAATCTGAAAGCATGACACTGTTGTTCAGCCATGACTTGTAGCAGGCCTCCTGCAAAATGGCTTCAGCCAGCTAAATATTCAGCTTCCTGATTGGCTCTCAGCTCGGAGGCAGTCGCCTGGTTGATTGCCTGCGTGAGTGACTGCAGTGAAATAGGTCCGACTTGGCTCCTACTTTCCCATGTCTTTCGTGTCAGCTGCTTCTTTCACCACTGTCCAGACAACTAATCAGATGCACACACGTAGCTGTGGCCCCCCATGTCCATCATATAGGACATACACCATATGCAGACGAGCTCTGTAAGCAGGACAGCCCTTTGTCCTGACCCCCCCAGTGCAGCACAGAATAAGCTTCCTTATTCTGATTCTTTTCAACTTGCTTGTTTTCCATAAACACATTTGAAGTGCGTCAGTTAACAAGCCCTGAGTTTCCTCTCCATGCTGGGGAGTAAATACACACTAGGTACTGTGTCATGAATAAAATGTTTGTGGTAATGGGAGCAGCAGGGCTGCGGGAGAGGAATAGAGATAAAAGTGGTAAAGTCCTTGATGAAGGATGTTAAAAGCTTTTTCTGTTGTTGTTGTTGTTTTCTCTTCTTTTAGCTCCGGTTTTATGTGAAGAAACACTCTCAGCTGCACCCAGCACTCGGCTCTCTAATAACAGAATAGCACCTGTTGCTGCCCTAATCCTCGCTGCTTCATGTGCCAAGCTGTGGATTACTCTTGCCTTTTTATAACACTAGTGCCTTGTTATGTGTGTACCCCCCCCTCCTCTCTGTCCTTTAAGCCATTGCCCCAGAGGCTGCTAGCATGGCTGCCTTAGCCCCTGACCTGATGTAATGGTGCCCTTTTTTTGGATACGTCAAATAAGAGCATGTTAATGGTGTCAAACTGTAACATGCAGCCATGAGAGTGGATTTTTCCTCCACTCCGTTTAGCCTCTGGAATGGACCTGGTAAGAGGGTTAGTAGTGCTGGGCCCTTGTGTAGGGAGGTACACCCAGTGTGTATACCTCTACTCTTCACTAATTTTGGGCTGTTGTAAGAAAAGCAACAAACTGTTACTTTTGAAACTGAATCAGGGTTTGTTTTGTTCATGCATTATTTACTTTTTATATAGTTGAATTTTAATGCTTAACATCATTTAAGGGATGTTAGATGCAAAGAACATTGTATGCCTTTATTTACAATATTTTTGTATCATTTTCGTGTGTCATGTTAACCAAAGAACTATTAAAATGGCATTTTAATGTTGGGTCTGCACGTTCTAAAAGGCAGTCTCTGAATTGCCATTTATATTTGCCACCATTTATACTCATACTATGCAAATATTAATAGACACTTAAATATAATGCATTCAAACTTTTCCCAAGTGCCTTCTGTACTCTAATTTGCTGCTGTATTTTACTAGCAGCTGAAATGTTTACCTTAAGTGTTTATGTTGTGCTGTAATAAGTACCAAACAATGGCATGGTTCATAAAAACCTTCATGCTATTAAAATGTTATTCACCAAATCATACTCTTTTGGTAACATGTTTGTATAAGCAGGGCTGGAGGTATAGGGGTATTGTGAGTAAAATAAAATTCTATTTCTTGGATTTGTTTGTTGTATAAGAACCCATCCACCCACACTCAACTCAAATAGGAATCCTGCTAACTTATCACCAGCTAGCACCCCCTATGGGTTCTATTACAACTGTGCACTTAATATGCTTGACTCAGCTATTTGCTGAACAATCTTTAAAACTGAGGTGTAGTAATGTAATGTCACAAATTTGAAATTTAAATTGTAACTTTGTAACCCTTTAATATGCAATAAGTTCCAACTTAGAGTGCTATACAGATTTAATTTTGTTTGGATCAGCCAAGTCTAATGATGTTAACTGACTCACTAGTAAATCTCTTTTACCTGCTGCTGATCAAGTAAGAAGTTCACTTCTGATGTAAAACTTATTGCACCAACAGTAACATTATGTAATAGCATGTTATCTGCATTTAGTTATGTTATTTCCACCCAAGGGCAAATACTCACTTTTAACTACAATAATGTGTCTTAATTCACTAGTAAAAGAACCACTAAACTAATTTTATTCAAGTAAGAGGTCCACTTCTTGTGTAAAGTTTGTTCTGTGCCCCTGCAGTAACACCATGTAATGGCCATGTTACCTGCATTTATTCATATTTCCACTCAGTACAACAATGCAATTATTTAAAAACACAGGTTAACTTACAATCATAGCAATAAAATCAGTAGAAAATGTCTATTTTTAAAATCTGTTACAAACCCAGTCACATTTCAGTTATATTATTAATTAATTGCTTATTTCTTTCAACATTAACTTTTAATTTTTCAACATAAATTTATTTCTATGCCAGCTACAGGAAGTGACCACTTCTTTGTAGCACCAGAATTGATTGCTGTAGGGGGAAAAGATGTTTTTCTTTTTCCCTGAGGAAGAAGTTTTTGAGAATCATACATACTTTTTCTCTCAAAGACTTGAAGAAATATGGAACTGGCAATCATTTCCTTCTGAGCTTTTGCTTTTTAGATCTAAAGTAAAAACAGACAAATTCTGGCTCATTGCTTTTACAGAACTAAGGGGTGCATGTAGGCATTGGTGGTGATGTTATGCTTTATGACATGTCTAAAACATGTGGAATCTAGTAAGGACAGGAATCCTGAAGAATTCATTAGCAGAAGACTTACCAGTGGTTATTTTATCTGCCTCATAGGAAATGACTGTGTTACTGAACCTTTTTCAGACTGCAGCCTGGCCAACAACAACATATAACATTTTCTCATAGATCTGACCAATCTATTCCTAATAGTGCCAGAATTCAATCACAAGCTTAGCTGAGACCAATGTAAGCAGACAATCTCTAGCACCAGAATTGTTTTTTTTCTGTTCAGCAGGTATGACTAGAAGTTTGTAGTTAACCGAAGGCTTTTTAAAAACTTTAAAAAGTGCGATATCCACAGAGCAACAAGCTTAGTTCATGGGAGATAATATTAATATATCAGAACAGTACTATGGAATACCACTAGAGGGCGTCAAAGAATTATTTTAATCATGAAAGCAAACTAAATATTGCCGCGAATACAAACGGTGCAAAAGAGCGTAAGGAGACATTGAAGAATTAAAATTCTGCTTCGAAAAAATGTCGCGAACAAATCTGAAAGCCAATACATAGAAAATTCCCTCGAAAACCTAATATGAAAATTGGCTGACTTTCAGCCCTAAACTCAATATCTTCATAGCAATACATGAAGCTCAATGTGAGAATGGATATGACTTACATGGTTTTAAATGAACATAACAATAGACAAGTTATCAAGTTCTAGAGATTTTTAGTGTTACTGCAGGTAATGGGTCCAGGCCAGACCTGTGTAGGTGCTATTACTGACATGGCAAGCTTGTCTGAAATGAGGCAGCTTGTCTGAAACAGTAAAATTTCCATGCTGAGGTGGGGGCATAAGTGCAAGTCTGATTCCAGACTCTCCAAAATGTCACTCGTTCTTCTGGTCCTGCTAAAGTTAGGAAGATAGTGCAGACATTCAGATGTTAAACTGCAGCACCATCTGAAGCGAAAACCGGTTACCACGGTAACAGGCAGAAGAGAAGAGGAAAGACGGGTTTTTGAGCCTTGTAGACTAAACAGGTCAGAGTAAGACCCGCAGTCATTTAACTCTTATACTCCTTTTCATTACTGGTCAAATGTTATCATAAAATGTCATTACATATTTCATGAATTTTAATGAAATCGTGAATAAATACACACAAAAATATAAATATATATTTTCCCCAGAAAAAAATACTGTTATTAGAAAATTAGAGCTTTGATGGCAATAATCAGAAATGTATGAAGTGGGCAGCGGGAGTCACTAAAAGAACAACAGCCATTACACATGTATCAGTGGGTATGCAGTTAGAAACGCAGCCGCGCTTTTATCTTGGTTTATGCACAGATTGAGATGTGTCTGAGATGCCCTTTATTTCTCACAGCAGAATCAATGATAGCTCTTCAAGAAGGATCAGAGCTTCTCAGTGTCATGCACACTGAGGTAGTTGATTAAATTTTGTTCATTCTTTTTGGTTTTTTGAAGGACAAGGCCAATTTCTCAAGCCTATTTATGGTGGGAAATGAAGAAGGTAATTTATCAGGAAATGGCAAATTTAATACTTCTCTGGAACAATTTATGTTTGGTATTGAAAACTTTATGTCCAGTCATCTATCCTACCTTCTTGCAACTGAATTATGTCCCATGTATAGTGTTTATTAAGCTCCCCAGCCTCATTCTGCCCAGTATAAGAGCAGTAAACAAAACTAGCATCAATAAAATTGACTGATTCAGAACAACCAAGAAACAGACCCTGGTGTATAGCTCTGAGGGTTAGAACTGTGATCGAAATGTCGCTGGTTCAAATCCCATGACCAGGAGAAGTGATTTCACCATTGGGCCCTTGAGAAAGCTTCCTAGACCCAACTGTGCCATAGATTCCAGTTTGTGCTGCTATCTGATCCTCACTTGTATGTTGCTTTGGACAAAAACCATCTGCTAAATAACAGGCAACGCACTAATGTCCAGCACCTAGAATTATTTTAGCAGACAATTGTCAATTTTAACAGGAGATTTTTTTTACTATATATGAAAAAGTAATATATGTATTATGTGTATACCTATATTGCATAATTAAGCATTAATTATACAAGATAACCATAATATCTTGTGGTAATAACAGGTACACAACTAGTCTGGAGTAGTTCGTTTGTCTGTCATTAATAGAACCAGAGGTGTCCAGGAATATAATGCCTTGAGGATAATGGTGAACAGCTTCACTGGTTAAAATGGTAAGTTCCGGGTGTAAGGCAAGATCTGTTGCTTCAATTATTCCAGAACAAACCAGGCTGAGTGTCAATGTGGTTGAAATAATGGAGTTAATACAAATTGGCCTACATGGAATTAATGGAAATGTGTAATTAATGTGTAACTCTGTACTAATGGATAAAAAATAAATCATTCTACAAGGGATTGTAAATAATATCCCTGTAGTAATACGGACTTGGCCTGCCATTACATAAATATTCTGCAGAATGGATGTCATTCTTCTGTTATTTCGTGAATTAGTACATTCAGTATTAGATTTTGATCTCCCAACTCATCACTTTACTTAAAGCTGTCATCTACAATGCACTATAGATACCTTTCATAATGCATTATAGTAGTCGGTATAAGAATTAATAAAGCATTACAACATCTTCTATTGACAATCAGAAGGCATTGAAGTGTTGATTATAAAACTTCATAAGCTCCAATGAAGCTGTCATCCATAATGCACTATAGATACCATCATAATGCACTATAATGGTAAGTATAATAATAAACGAAGCATTACAGCATTTTCTATTAATAGTCATAAGGCATTTTAGTGTTGATTATAATACTTAATAAGCACCGATAATGCTCTCATCCATAATGAACTATAGATACTTTGCTAATCCATTATAATGGTCGGCATAAGAATTAAGGATACAATGTATTGCATTATGAAGGTATTTATAGTGCATTATAGATGAGAGCTTCATAAAGCATTCAAATGCATAATAAACATGGCTATGTGTGATGCCTTTTTATAAATATGTATAGACGTGTTTATAATGATATACGCATCCCTCAAAATGTGTAATGAATGCGTTCATTGATTATTATTGACATTGCATTAATAGTTACCCATCATTCTTGTCATTTTATACTCTTGGTAGTGCACTGAAGTAATTTAAGCAACCAACTTGCTACAGCTTGTTAGTAAAATTAGAGAAATATGAATAATCACAATCCAACGAAGAACCACACGATCCACAGCCTCTCCCCCTCTTATTCAGGTTGGTGGGATGGCCCATCTTCGCCATGGTTACGGTGTAGAACCAATACATGCACTTCCTAGACCCTTACATGATCACGGCTGTGCCCATGCATTAATGCAGCAGTGAGTGCTCTCATACACGTGGTGATATTTACACATGCTGACCAAGAAGAGAAAACCAACACTGCTGACTAACAAGAACAAAAATAATCATTCAATGTAATATGGTGGTGTGATTGCGAGGTGTTTACAATTCTGTTGAATTTCACAAAGGCTGTTGCTCAGAAAAATAATGCTTGTGTACGTGCAAGAGCAGACATACTTCTACAGCAAACTGAACAGAGCAGATATCAGTCAGTATCTTCTTAACCATAAATCACCACAGATAACATATATTCCCAGTTAAAACTAAGAAACTGTCAAAATGTAAGACAATTGAAACATACCTCCAGTAGGTCTATATTACATGCAGGAACTGTACGAAGGCGACGACAGTGATGGGACAACAATACCTTGGGGACAGGGGTCCGAGACGGTGGTGTCCAAATGTGTGTGACCTTCAATGGGCCTTTGACATGCCCCCTTTGCGCAGCCTTGGGACAAACACTGTCTCTGTCACCATTTCCCCCTCTTTTGGTGCCTCTGAAGGACTGACCTGTTATTTTACCTTCTCCACCCCAGCAGAAATCTGCCATGAGGAAGTAAGCCAAGCAGCACTGTATTTTAAACCAATAGCATTTATTGCTAAACTGTACTTAAAAACAACACTCCATAGCTTATTGTACAAGACAGTGTGCACACGATCGCAAGGCTAAATGACAGACCACCAGCACTGACAGAACAGCCTCAAAAACCTGGAGTTCCTTAGCCTCATGCCAAAACGTCGCCACACAATATATATATATATATATATATATGTATATGTATATATATATTTCTTTTTTCCTTTTCTGGCAGTAACATAAAGTCTTTTAAATCAATAAAGCATGACTTTTCATACTGGACTAAACTTTACTTTTATTCTTTTTAGTACCACATACACATGTAAAAATTGAGCACAAATGTGGAACAACCCTGAATGGTACACAAACCCATGGAAAATCCGGGGAACCTTTTTTTTGTTTTTCGTTTTTTTTTTTTTTTTTAAGGATATGGGCAGCAGCTGCATAAATCTGCCCCCCAGCCCCTTCAGGATCAATGTGAGGATGAAGAGGTGAGTATGTGCTTCACACGGCACCAGGAGGCGTCCCACCCCTGGCACGAGATTCAGCGGACGCTTAAAAATACCACTGGTACATAAATGGATAAGAAAGAGTGCTTCCAGGTTGTAGCCATAAGATAATACCATCTTAAATAATGTTCCCATACACCTGAGGACTATAATTCTACTGTGCATAACACATTCTTAAGGTGGCCTCACATAAATAGACCCTCAGCTCTCCACACTGACCTCCTGCACTTTGACCCATGGGATCAGAAAGGGTCAGTTTTACCTCCATTGAGAAGATCAATTTAGTCGGGGAATTGAGACTGGGTAACGGATTATATTCTCACAGACGCTCCTGGTCTCCCACAGATTGTGCTGTCGCAGGGGAGGAAAACATCACCCCAGCTCCATTACTCACTCAGACAGAGCTGTACCATCAGAGAACTGGTCCGACCTCATTCATACACCTGGACTGGGCTGTGGTGCCAGTGAAATGCATCATGGGATCATATCAGGAAATGGTCCTCACTGATGCCTGTGACATTATCACTGTAAAGACTAGGACGGTCAAATGGCATTCTTCTAGACTCTTCTGAGAATATAATCACATTCAAACTCAAATGTGCTTTAATTCTTAAAAGATTTAACCCAGTCAAGGGACACAAAAACCCTTAAAATCTGACTCCTCAGTATATTTTTACTGACATGTACTGACCAAGAGGGGGTGGGGCTTATGACCACATGACTCCCTTTATCAGGCAGAGCTAGAGACCCCCAGGCTGTGCTACAAGGCGGCAGTTCTTTATGGATAAAGGCCGGCGGTGATGATGGGATCTCATGGTCAGGTGCTTCCACGGCGAGGAAGCGCTGACGAGCATGCTGGCTCCATCTCTCCGCAGGCTCTCCCTCCAGAGGCACCGCCCAGCACAGCCACCGTAACGCTACGGAAAAGGCCTCCTGGCTATTTAATGAAAGAGCTCATTACTTAAGAGGGATGAAACGCGGCAAAGCCGCCGTCTGTTCCGTCATGCCCGCTAAGCGCAGGTACTGTCATGTTCAGCGAGTGCCTGGACTCTTATATAACAACAGGGCGCGACTGATGAAGTAACGATCTGAGGCTTGTTGTGCTCCATCATTTGCCTTTGAATAAAAATCTTACTTTGAGCTGCGTCCTGTGAGCTCACTGCCAACGGGAGATAAAATACCGCGGCCTCCAGACATCCGCCGGGGAGAAGGGGGAGGGCGGGGAGCGGGGGCGGGGGGAGAGACCAAAGTGATTAATAATTCATGATAGAGTCAAAATTGTGCTTTACGGCGAGACGTTGGAGCTCGGCACTGAGCTTTGGTACGTGCCGGATTGTGCCCCCGGGGGGGGGTTGCGTGGTGGAGAAAAAACCTGTCATCTCTACAAGATGTTATTCATAAACTGAGGATATTCTTATACCCTACACTGAATTTAATCAGTGATGCTACACTTCATCTTGCCCAGTTTCCCTGACTGCCGATGTCACTGGCTTCTGAGTTAAGGACTGCTAGGCGATGAGGATTATCAGAGATGCTATTGTTCAGAAAATATGTATGTTGCCGCTGCCAAATGGATATGAAGCGATCCAGCGATCTCCATTTTCCTTGTCAAGCTCAGATCCTGAGGCACCCTTCAATGCCCTCACAGCTGAAGCTGAGACGCAGACCTGCAGGACGCTAAAGTGATGGCACGAGAAAAACGCCTTAATGGCGCTACAGACGCAAACATGCAAACATCCGCGCTTTACTGTAGCCGCTTCCCGATAAAGTGACAGTACAAAACGGGTGGAAAAAAACGAAACTTTACATTTATCAAGAGTTTGAGGTCTTCCACACCAGAGGGCTAGGTACACTCCACCACCAAAAGGGGGCGCTCTTTTTGAAAAGATGGAAGGCACTAACTTGAGCCAGACCCCTGAGCGGACAGTGGCCTCTGGGCATGTCAGTGAGGTCAGACCGCCAGCTGCAGCCCAGAGCTGAACGTGCGGTGGAGATTACAACGCCCCCGGTGAAGAAGTACTCTCTGCTTTACATTTTAGAAGAAAAAAATGAACATTTAGCAATGGCAGTGATAATAATGATTCTCCTTTTTGTTTTTGCATCATTGTGCTCCTTCTGCTGTAGTGCCATCGTTTTTGAATGGAAATCTGTAGAGATAATCTTGATGGTGTAGAAAACATTTTTTATATATATAGACTATTGTAGTAGACTACAGACTATTGTCAGCACCATGGGGGGGGGGGCTGGATTCCTGCTTCTGAAGGTTGCAGAGTGAGGGACCCCCATGTGGCATCCACTGTGAAGGTCTATCTTGAAAGCTCGTTGGAAGAGAACCCCCCCTGCTTGAGATCTCCAGTGGACCGACCCCCCCCCCCCCCCCATCACTTCTCAGAAACTTTCCACAAAGCTGCCAGGGAATAAACCAGAGCGGCCCGTGCGCTGCAGGGTGCCTTTGTACCAGCCGTCCTCCCGCTTTTTGTGGACAAAGACGATGTCGCCCTCCTTCAGTTCGATCTCGGCTTCGCTCTGAGGGGGGTAGGGCACCACCACACGGTACCTGGGGAGGGAGAGGAGGACACCCCTGAAATAAGGCCCCCAGCTGGGAAGGAATGCACATAAAGAAGGAAGAAGTCATTTACGGAAGCAGAAGGAGAGATGTGCAGAGCTGTGATAGGAGAAGAATGATAATGACGCCTTGTGCCCAAATGAAATGCTTCTTTGTACTTGTTTAAATCCCCAGTGAGAGGATTTTAATTGTAGTTGCTGTTTGCTGTTAACATATACTCCTAAATCTGAATAATATACATTTTTTAAGAGAAATCACACTAGGAAGCCAATTCATTTCCTTGCTAGTAAGACTGTTATGTCTTTGGTAGCACAGTGTTCCATATCCCAAGCAAGGCGGCAGGCTGTCAGTCTGGCATTACACACCAAACATGTGTCACCATCTGTTGCTTGTCTCCTGCAGTCTGTTAGCATCTTCTGCAGAGCACAGAGTGGATGTCTGATCAGACTGTCCACACTCTTCCTTATCTCTGACATCTCAGTCCAGTCCAGATGTTTGCATCATAATCCAACTCTACTCCCACCACTGTAATACTGCAAAATCATATTCAACACCATCAAACCTCAACATACCCTCACAGCTGCCAACCGTGAACACATCTCCTACCACAGCCTCCATCCATATCCATATCCCCGTTAATACCACCTTCCAAATTCCACATCTATCACAAACCCCACCCGTGTCCACATCACCTTAAACACTTTACAAAATCCACATCACCTACCACAGCCTCCATCCATGTCCACATCACCCTTAACACTTCCTTCCAAATCCCACCTCCTACCACAGCCACCATCCATGTTGCTGTGTGAAATCAACCAAGGGGAAACTCTGCAGATTCTCTAAATTCTATCTTCACATTGAAGGTGCTAATCCTTGCAGGGGGTCCAAAGTGACATTTTTTTCATGGGCCCAGAATTACTAGCTGCACCCCTGGGCTGAACAGGACAGTAATATCAAGCGAACCACCTACTCATTCAGCAATCACACTGATTAAGTTTCATTTCAGCTGAGAATTACTGAGATATGAACTGCAGTCAAAAAAGATTTTTAGTAAAATCTATCTTGGCAGAAGGTCAAGCATGAGTACAAAGCCCAACGAAGAACCTAATGTGCATCTCACATTCACAGACATGTTATATCCAACAGAAGTAGCTGAGCACAAATGAAAGAACAGCACATCATTTCTGCATTGATTTCCCTCTGAGGGACACACATTTCAGCCTTGTAATTACTTCAGTAAAAGTGAAGCAATATCTGTACTGTCTCGACCTGACATCCACAACCTCCAGCTTGCAGTGAAAAGAAAATCAATTAATGATTTTTCTTATCCCCACAGTCATAAATTATCTGGACCTTAGTTCTCAGAAAAAAAACCTACAATAGGGTCTACAACAGGAGCGAAGATGAAGACACTGCATGGGTTTATTCAGGCACCGCTGCATTTGTGCCTCTGTGTGGAGGAGGCGTTACGTGCCAACCCACAATGTAATGAGTGTGGGTGAATCTTCATAGATTTATCTGCTCAGACTGCGATTTGCAAGGAATGATTATAGCCATCGACCAAACCATCAAGGCCCCAACACTAGCATATGTGGCTCCAAATGTCTGGGTAGCAGATGTTTCAATACGGTTTTCGCATAAATAATAACATGCCAGGATTGATCAATTGAATGTTTCAACCAAAAATGACTTACACCATCCATACTTTGGTATTTGTCTGGAGCATTTAAGCCCCTCCTGGGACTCACAGAGACCACGTCTCCAACCAGCAGCCACCCGCAGAGACCATGTGCATAAATATGAAAACGCTTCAGCCAACTTCGTCACCCCAGATCACACGAGCGCTTGCACCAGTGTGGTTTGGGTGGAGTTTGGGGAGGGCTGGGGTGAGAGGATATGACTTATCCATCTTGGAAGGTTGTATCTCACATTCAGCGTTTTTGGCCCCAGTTCATTTTTCCTATATTGTCCTATGAAAATCAGAATACTGTTTTTGCATTTGCGTGCAGAAACACTGATTAGGGCAGGGGGGCATATGTACCCCTCATCTGTGCAGTTACTAAAAGACCCCACAAAGTTTTGTGTGACCACTCCCTACAAGCCTTCTGACCCAAGTAGAAAGGTGTAGTTTGGTCATGTACTTCGATCCTTTCACAAAAACTTTGGATGAGCCAAACATAGCCAGAACTCTTGCCTACTTTCATACAGCGAGCTGGTACTGCTGTGAAAATCTGCCTGTGCAAAACAAATCAACGCATCAATTACCATGTGATCATTTTTTTCTCCAAAAGTGACTCAAAAACATGTCAGACATAGCATGCTTCCTCAAACCAGAAGTGACTGAACAGTATTAGGAGAGGTATAAATCTCAGAACAGCAGAATTAATTAAACCAGGTGCTTTACAATGATCCTCTTCTGCAGACCTTCCACCACTAGATAAATACGGTCTGGAGCAGCACTGGAGATTATGAAAGGGGGAGCTAAGCCATTATTAGGGGGAGTCTGATTTTAATGAAAATGAATGAGATCACACTATTTAAACTAATTAGTGAATAAGCCCTAGCAATGCCCCTTAATACAGTCATACTCATAAAGCAAAATCGGCAGGGTTACTTTGACATAAAGAGTTGGAGGACTCATAATTAATTGGCAGTGCTAATTTTTATAAGTAACAGAGCACTGATTTTCTCCCATTGCATTAATATAATATGCAAATTCAACAGGATGAATTCTTTGATGTTTTTCTAAATCTCAGGCGATATCTAAGGGTTTGGGTCTGCAGAAATCCACCTCAGAAGCCAACATCAGGTACCATCGCACCAAAGAGAATGGCAGAGGTGTATGAGCTAAGCCTGGTGAGGGCAGCAGTGAGGCCAGCTCTGGCACTGACCTCTCTCTGGACAGGGGCTTGGGTTCTGGACGGAGAGCGAGCAGAGCGGAGCAGGGCTGCCGGGCCGGCGGCGACACCGAGAAGTTGAGGTCCAGGGAGCCTGACTTCCTGTGCAGAGGCTCCATGCCCATGGCGCCCTGCATCTCGCTCTCGATGGGGCAGGAGCCGGCGCGCCCGTGGCTGGGTCCCGAGGCGCCCGCGACCCCCTGCGCTGGCACATCCGCGGCGGCCTGGGGCTGGGGCTCGTGGGTCGGGGACACGGACGGCGGGGAGCGGGACTTCTTCTTGGCTGCTGCCCCAGAGAGGAGTTTCAAGAAACCTCCACCCTTCCTCTCCTTCTGGGGGGAGAGACAGAGAGAAAGAGAGAGAGAGAGAGAGAGAGAGAGAGAGAGAGAGGCATATTTAATCCACCCTCAGCAAACTCAGTGTCCAATTGGGCACACAGATACAAATATAAAGAAATATAAGCTCATTATAACAGAAACAAGCAACACTTGCTAAATTTGCAAGAAACTCACCCAAAAGTCAGTGTAGGAGACATGGATAAAAGGGGTATTCCCCAGTCATATGCTATTGCTAAACATTTTTGCTGGTGGGCCAGTTACAGTGACAGGGTAAAGGAAAATGTGACCCCTGGATTAGAATCACAAACATGTATGGAAAGGTTGGTTCAAACAGCACAGGGAGGGAGTGTGGTAGGTAAACAGACTGGGTATAGCACTGTTCCAAACTCTAATTCAAAGCAGATTGAACAGAGTGTTCACCTGTGCTACATTAGCTATGGCAAGGCTTCATCAGCACCAGGAATAACAAAATTTACATTCATCACATTCGAAGGGCTCTGGTCTCCCAATGACAGCAGGCTGCTTTCGCTGCAGTTAGGCCCTGTCTCTCTGCANCACCAGGAATAACAAAATTTACATTCATCACATTCGAAGGGCTCTGGTCTCCCAATGACAGCAGGCTGCTTTCGCTGCAGTTAGGCCCTGTCTCTTGGCCAGCAAAATCAAGTGACACGCTCAAAAAATATTACCCACAATGCATCTTAACTAAGATTTGTTGGTGGGCCAATGGGATTAAAAAACACTTCAAGAGGGTGGGGCCAGAGTGCGAAGTACACAAAATCATTGACCCCCCCTACTATAAACCTTGGTAAGTGCTTCTGACCATAGACCCAATAATGTAATAATGACTTCCACATTTAATAGAAAGTAACCACAAAGTAGCATGAAATGCAATTTTCATATTTATCTTTTCTTCCCTCGTCTGTAACGTGTCAGAATCATGGCTGAGATATAAACCATATCACACCTCAATTTCCGATGAACATAAATTATACTTCTGCTAATAAATCAGTAAGGAAGACAAATGAAAACATAAAATTGTAATAGTAACTTTGATTCATTGTGGGCCTCTGTAATTACAGGGAGCTGCAGGTGTTCTCTAAATCCATGCGTCCACTGCACAGATACTAATTCTCTGTACAGTGCATGTTTATAGCCTGTATAATTAACGTCATGGAAGACTTATCAGGAGACTATAAAGGACCTGTGATCGATTTCTTCTGTTCTTTGGTGGATGGTTCTGTCACCCCCTACTGATTATCATGATTATTTTATCAATCTCTCACTTGGAGATTCTATTCTGTATATTACATATATTTATATTTATGTTTACTGTATATAATATAACAACAGCACTTCCACACTCCCTCATACAGGCCTGGAATTTGCACCCATTTGGCCACAGGACTCTTGTTTGTTAACCACTATGCCATCTGCTGACTAATGGCAGAAATGCTACACACATAACAGAAACTAATGCTGCCCTCTCATTGGTCATAGAGGTCCCTCTCGCTATGAGCTGGGTGGCTGTCTGCTGCAGAGGAGCCAATTATCCATGAATAATCAGCACCGGGGAACATGTCAGGCTGGCTGTCAGCATGGGGGGCAGCCTCACGCCCCACTCCAGACCAACGTGGGCATAAGCTTCATTCACTTTCACATCCCTGACTGTCTGACATCCCTACAATTAGTTATACAGCAACTCCCAGCACTGACTTTTGCTCATTCGGACCATTATTAAAACAGCTGGGGCGGACTGTCATTCCCTTCAGATTCCCGCGGTAACAATGTACGGGTGTTCCGGCTCTGCATTCATAGAGACAGAGCGCTGCTGTGTCTTCACCCATCATTCTTCCGGATTCCGCTCTGGCAACGACACTCAACCAGGAAATAAACTGAACAGAAGCACTGAGGAAAGAATCTGGTCACTGCGACAAAAGGATTTTGATCCAGGTGCTTAATGGAAATTGACCTGCAGCCTGGGACACTGTAATGGGTGAGACAGTTAGGACAGTGAGTGACAGGGGCCTTAAAAAATTTGGAACATGATATGATTGGTCTGGGTGCCCAGCGATGGGCTGGCCCCCCGTCCTGGGTTGTTCCCCAGCTTCCGGGGTAGGCTCCGGACCCCCCGCGACCCAGAAGGATAAGCGGTCTGGAAAATGGATGGATGGATGATTGGTCTGGGCTTGGTGCCCAATATGATACGCCAGGGATCTTCAAATCTGGACCTCGAATCCAAATCCAGGCCTTGTTTTCAATGCTCCCAGGTAATTATTCGTTTAATAATTACTGATTCTGATTGGCCACAGAGGCTTCATACCCAGTTCACAGGTAAAGGAAGGCTGGAAAATCAGCAGGGCTCGGACCTTGAGGACCGTGATTTGAATAGCCCTGTGATGGGGGCTCTCATGGGGCCCAAAATCTCAAACGACACCGCTGCCAGCAGCACATGGATTGTCAGGGAGACCAGATCACATGGGCAGAGCAAACGCCGAAGCCGGTTATGTGGAAATCCAAGCAGAAACTCCTGGCACATCGTTAGCCAAATCATCTGCGAGAATCAACGCTAATAAATATCCATTTGTCAAATTGTGAAATCTCAGCCTCACAGTGCCTGTTGTTCATGGCTCACTCCATATGGTGGTTTTCAGTTTAGTGGAGCTGTAATTTAGCAGGTGTGATGAAATATTAGTTTAATTCATCCATCCATCCATCCATCCATCTTCTCCTGCTTCTCCTGGTCCGACTCATTTGGTATTAAATTTATTGCATTGCACAATTTGAATGACATTACTGAATCCTTGTGCTAATTAGTGCCCCACTCGTATGATAATTTTGTGTCCAATAACGATACAAATTTTCATGACCTAAAAAAGTTCTGATAGCCAATAATATTGGCTTATTTCATTTTTTTTTTGGTCTAAAATGTAACTGACAAAAGTTCTGCTGCTTTACTGGTTTTACTTTAGAAAATGATAAATATAAAATAAATATAAAACAAGTCATTACATAAAAAAGTAAATGACATAAAGTCTTATAATACTGAACTCGCAAACAAGAGCAAGTTTAAAGTCCACTATCAGTCAATCACTAGCTAAATTTGTTATATTACAGTACATGTGATTTTATTAATGATTATACAATCTGTTTGCCGCTCAGTCGTGGTTGCACTGCTGCTGTATGTTTGGTTTTTGGTGTCCGATGACTGCATGGTGGCTCAGTAGGTGGCGTTGTTGCCTCCCAACCTTCTGGGCTGTGGGTTTGAATCTCACTTTGTGTGTGTGGAGTTTGCATGCTCTTCCTGTGTTACAGTAGGTGGGTTTTCTCCTGCAGTGCAAAGACAAGCAGTAAGTGGTGTCTATAAACTGCCTGTAGATCAGACCCTATGAATATGTTTTTTTTTTCTTTTTGTGATTGTTATGGCCAAAAATGCTTCACTGCACAGCAGCTTTTCTCAAAATTTGCAATGGCATCTTACTGCGATCTATTTTGCAGAAAATGAATTGAGAAAATTGCTAATTCAAGAAAATTTTAAAACTCCTTCCACTGAAGAAAGAGACGTAATTAGTTTCTTTGTGTATTTCTTTTTATATCAAATAAACAATCACATTTCAGTGCTCATTTTTATTTGTTTTCTGCATTCAGGAACCATGGACTCAGTTAATATATAAAAGAAAATACTATCTTTTGATTCCAGTAAGTTAAGTCTTTGTAAAATAAACTGTAAATTCAACATTAGCAACAAATAAAATCAGTCAAATACCTTAACAATGCCCATTTTTTTTATATTATTATTAGACTATTAGATGACTATGATCATCTGTGGTCTTTACAATACCTCAGTTTAACAGAATACAAAAACGACATCTTCTTAACAGAATGTGACCAATGCTTCAGGTTAAAATGCAAACAATGCATCCATTTTGCACAATGTTGTAAAGGTATGCAAAGCAGTTGCCTCCACTTCTGTGCAAAACATTTGGGAATTGTTTTCTGTGGACTTTAGCAGAAATTTTTGTTGGTAAATGAAAGGTGTTGACTTTTCGGTTCACCAATAGCGAAGCCTATAGAGAAAACACACATGAATGCGCATAGCGAAGGCGTCACAGGTCCGAACGCAAGCAGGCTGTCAATTTGGAAATTTCTTGAAGAAAAGCTGCAGTCTGTAAATTTCTGCGATTGTAGAATGGCAAAATCCTGAAGGGACTTATAAACTGAGTATGACTTATAAACTGAATGCGAGTACTTGTATGTATGTGTCCTGTGACGGCCTGCCGTCCCATCCAGGGTGTCCCCTAGCTGGGTGTCCTTTGCTGCCTTTGACAGGCTCCCAGTCCCCTGAGACCCTGACCAGGAGAAGAAACTGGAAGATGCATGTTCAGTGGTCATATAAACCTGCCCCCCCCCATCAGGGGGCACCCTGTGCATTTTGTTTCTTACTCGTTTGCCGTCTCCTTTAAGGTGAGATAGGTGTGAATTGCCTTCCTACAACCTCCTTCTTCTCTTTCCACATAGAAAAACTGGGGAATTCATATGTTTAGGTGGATAAGAGGCTTTGCTTGTCGCTTTGGCGAAATCTACACCCAGTGCTGCATCTCTCACATAATGCATGTTCTGTCCACTGCGTTTTTACCTCACAAAGCTAAACACACTCTGCTCAGCTCAACAGTAGATCTGCACGTTCCACTTCCTGATAATCCCAGGCTAATGGCAGTATGTTAGAATTCAAGAGGCATAACTTCTAAGCGTTTTCCCAGATTCTTTTCTCATCATAAATGTGTAAATAGATCGGTGCTTTATCCATACGCCAATGTTGAAAAATTTTGTGGAACCTTATTCTTGGCCGATTTAATCAGCCAACCAATATATTGTTCAATCCTAGTGTTAACTAACTCTATTGCAGCTATTTGATATTTTGTGAAGTTAAAAATTTTCAATAAAAGTACTTTGCCTTTTATCTCCAAGGGTGGAGGTTCATAGTCCATCCCCTCTCTGTGAGATTCCTCTGGGTATTCCAGTTTCCTCCCACAATCCAAAGACACGCAATCTGGTGAACCTGCTTCTCTAAATAATATGCAATGTACATGTGTGTCTGCGATGGCCTTACCTCTATATCCCTATCTTGTGTCCTACTTTAAATAAAGTAAATTGCTTTTAAATTGCTTTTTTTAATTGCTTTTTCAGTCCATTAGATGAACATTCAAGGGTTATAAATAATCACTGATTATTGTAAAGAACATCATATTGTTCATTTTAAGGGACAACTAAACATTTAGGCATTTAGAAACATCTAGTGATTCTTCGTCATGAATACTATACTGTTCCTGAAATGAACTGAAAACAAATGAAAATTATTTCAATCGATACTTTCATTATCACTAATTAATAATTAATGCAGGGTGAAGCACCAACCCAGAGTTCACAGAAGAGTGATGGATTTCATGGAGCAGGATGGACACTTTAGTGGCAGGCCGGGCCCTCGTTAGGCCTGCCTTTTCACCCACTCGCCTGCCCTGTCCCTGCTCCCCTGCTCCCAGAGAGCATCCTCAGTAAACATCCCAAGGAGAAACTCCTCTTGAATCAGACGGCTCTTCCACTAACACCGCGGAGCTCAGCTGGTGCTCAGGGAAGCCCAAAGCAAACAACATCCCACCCTCCCTGGGCGCCCCGCAGAACTGACACGCGCTGTCACCCGCACCCCTCGCTGGGGCTCCCAGACTCCTTACCTTCTCTGCTCACATGCGGCACCCCCACAAGAGAGACCCGTCTGTAAACACAGAGGCCGCCTCTTCTGAAGAAAGATTGTGCGTAAAACTGACAAGGTTTCGGCAAACTTCTCATCTCCCCAGGCGTGAACATTTTAGCTGAGCCGGCGGAAGGCGAGGAAACGGAGCGACGTGCAGAAAATCACGTTTCCCGGTGCTTAAGGCTGATCAGCGCAGCGGCATGAACTTTGTAAAGCGTCCCTGTCTCCCGAATTACCCTGAGCTACCCCTCTCTACCAGCCCATGTAATTCATATAATACATCTACAGCTGTCAGAGGGGCTCTTTCTAATAATGGCAAACCATTAGGACTGGTCAAGGCTGGTCACAATGACAGCAGCACTTACAGCTAAAAAAAATGGCTGGCATCTGGAGCCAGAGCGTACAACCGGGCCATGGTGTAACGAAGGGTACCGGAATGCGCGTTGCCATAGAGATCCAGGCATGGGTAGCAAGAAGTCAAGGACTACGATGATGATGGCGAAAGCGGCTTACCTTCTCAGCCTTCTTCTCGTCTAGCTTGGCCAGGTTGGCGCTGGCCCCCTGCACGTGCCCGGGGGAGGGGGGCCGCAGGGGGCTGGCCAGCACCTCCCCGTTGAGGTGAGCGGCGCTGACGTTGGGCGGGGTGATGGCTGCCGCGGCGGAGGTGAGGGGGATGGCAGGGCGGACGTACTGGGGGGAGGCCACGGAGAGGGGGCGCGCCAAAGGGCCCGGGGAGCTGTGGGGGCGGAGAGAGGGAAGCGCCGCCGCTGTGGCTGGCCGCTCGGGGCTGCCCAAGGGGGGGCTGTGCACTGTTAGGGTGGGAAAAATAAAGAAAGAACTCACAAGCTCAGCTTCCGAGATCACCGTGGAAACCTGCCCAGCATTCCGAACAGAATGCCCCCCCCCCGCCCCGGCAGCCGACACGCTCCAGTCCGAGACATCGGCACGGCGCAAAACAAATCTATCCGAAACACTGCTGTCCACGCAGGTTAGGCGGGCCGTCATTGCAGGAAATTAATGTGTATAACCAGGGCGTCACGCCTTTCCTGTGTTTCCCAAGAAATGCGAGGACCGGTGTGTCGACTGCTTCAGTGCCGGGTTAAACTCGATGATGCCCGTGCGCGTGTAGGCTGGGGAATTATGGAGTTATGGACGGCTTACCAACATGACCAAAAACACAGAAAAACTCACAGTCTGCATGACACAACAGTATTGGAATCGTGTCTAAATAATCCACTTGTACTTTTAGCGCTTCCAGTGAGGGACTTATTAGCTGTGGAATATATCTGTAAAGTCATTTTAAATACGATATATTTGAAATATTAAACAGCACAAACGTCTTTTGTTATGGACCTGTCGACATCAAACATTTTCAGTTTGCGTATTTAGCACCTGTATAGTGCTTGGATTTGCTATGCCGAGCCGCTAAAATGCTAACGTGCGCAGCAGATGCTAAGGCATGCTACACCTGCTCCCATTTTCACTGAGAATAAGTCACGGGAATTTCACAGCGAAAACTCGCAGAACGCCGACCATCAGCTAAGCCCCCCCCCCCCCCAATCCAATAGCCGTTAAATCCCCACAAAGGCTTACACTAAGCACAGCGCGGCAGAAACTGGGGCAGCCGCTAAAAGCTAGCGGTATGCCTGTGACCGGAGCAGTGATGCCGCCGGGAGCCAGGCTGCTTCTGACTCCGTAATTACGGCTCATGGAGCTTTTGGGGAGACCCCAACAGCAAGCTGCATTAAGGCTTCAGAGTCTTTCACAGCTCCGCATGGCTCAGGGAAGAAGCTTCACAGTGACCGACCCCACTCTCCCAGTACTCCCAGTACTCCAGACACATCATATAAGTATTCTGCTTGAGGCAAACATAGGTTTTATTATATGTTACCATTGATGCTGCAAGCTCTGGGAGGATGTACATTCATCTAAGGAAGTGAAGAATGCACCGGCCCGCCCCCTGCCTGACTTACCCAGCTGCATGGGTGTGCGCGATTGGCCCAACGCAGCTGCCTGCTGCCCCGACGCACGCAGACAGTTCTTCAGGTGTGCAGTCGCCGGCTGCAGTTGTGGGGAGCTGGAGGCTGACGAGGAAGGGCCCATCGGGCTGGCTAGCTGGGGGGTGGACGAGCGCGGCCCCGAGCCCAGAAGGACCGGGCTGGAGGGCCCGGCGGACCCTGGGGAGCTGGGGTTAACCTTCACGGCCTGAGCCGACCCAGAGAGACACACGCGGGACTGTCCCACCACGTAGGGGGCCCTGCGGACAGGAGAGCACCAATAATAATCAATCATTATACAAAATGGACCAATCATAATCAAACAACAAAGGAAATCATTTACCTGAGATCAAACTGTCCCACAACTGCTGAGCTGGGTTTTATTACAGTTTAACACTAATGCAGCCCCCACACTAGGCCCAGCTAAAGCCACAGACTCCTCCCATGGGCAAACATTGCTTGTTAGCATCCTACAGTTTCAGGCTGAAGTGCTAAATGGCTGCTGTGTCCACCTGCTATTCTAAAAGACCTTATTCCATTAAGAAACAGGAACTCTGCTGTAATTAATCATTCAAGGGAATCTGTGTAACATGGCGGATTTTCAGTGGATTTGGGGATTAAACGCTAACCCTTCCTTAATTAAACAGAGTGTGTAGGAGGGATATTATTTGCTACGGGAGGCGAAGTTATTAGCTGCAACATGTGGAATTTGCTTACACCTACAGTACTAGCAGACGGAGGGCCCCTCAGCGCATCAGAATTAAAGCAAAGTCCCCAGCGCTGATGAGGCAGCTTTCTGAAACAGGCTGCGACGTCCGCCTTTGGTACACACACGCACACACTCACGCGCCTCATCAGCGCTGCATCAATCTCAACGCAAAACAGGTGGCGCACTTAGCAAGTTCAGCCATGTTCGTCATGCAGAATCACTAAACACCCAGGTGCCTGCTTCGCTGTGAGCTCATTTTTAGAGTAAATGAATCGTTTACTGTGTGTTTTTTTTTTAATCTGGGTTGCCTCTGAGCTTAGCTGAGTTTTCCCGCCTTCCACTGTCTCATACCGCTCCATTCCCAGAAAAGCACATTTCCTTCCCAGGCCTTGTCCACCTACACAGATTTCTTGCACGCAGAGCCGCTTTTGCCTCCTCCCCAGCAAGGGGAAAATTCCGACGTGAACCTGAATTTATCCAATCTGCCGGTCCCACCTGCCCGTGTCGTACGCCTTAGCGTGCGTTTAGAGACACCGGAGGACCTTCTCTTACCCGGATTCATTATCATTTTAATGACATTTTCTGAGGCTTGCTGATAAATTGAGAGCTCCACTTCTTTGAGCATTTTCTCGAGACAGATTCCACTCATTTTAATTGTCCAAGTCATGCTTTAAAATGATTTTATCCCTGATAGCCGCCTGCGGCTGCAGCCCATTCCGGAAGCTACTGCACTTTCCAGATGTTTCCTACTATCACAACCAGCTGGGATCTTTGCATTGAATGTATGGTGAAGGGCTACTTATTCCTTACTAAATCTAGTCACCATGTTGACACCCGTCATTAAATGTTTCTCAGACTCGTCCTTAGGGGCTGTCTGACAAGGAGCTGGGAGGGAGGAAATCATGGACCGTCTGTGGGTCCCCAAGGACCGGGTTGAGAAACACTGCCTTAAGGTATTCCACTTTGTATATTATTTAACTTTCAGACACCAGATGTTAATGGCATTCCACCTTCGAACACTGCTACCTCATGCCACCTCATATATCCATTCATTTCTCCCCAGGATCTGGTCCCCTTTTCTGCATACCTGGACACAGGTGTGACGTAGTTCCCGGGGAAGACACCAGAGGCGCCGCTGCGCAGAGACGTGCCCTTGAACCATCCGTCCTGGCACTTCTCTGTCACTCGGTACATCTCGCCCTTCCGCAGCTCCAGCTCGTCGGCCTTCTGGGGTCTGTATGCGTACATGGCCAGGTATCTGTTAGCAATGGGGGGGGGGATACAGGAAGGAGGTGGAGGTCAGAGGAAAGTGCAGAAAGGGGTCAGGGGGTGATGTACTGTAGGGCAAGTCAGCTGACAAATGCAATTCCACATGTGCAGAGAAGGTCAATGAGAATGACTTAAACACACAATACAAGAACAAACCCTATACCGTAGCGCGGTGGATATGGACAAAAGCTGCGAGCCATTAAGCTCATTAAGCTGCAGGTTTAAAACCCAAAAAGGGACTTGCAGTTAAGATAAATCAACCTGAATACTGACGTGTAAAGGCTAGTAGCGCTTGGGGGTGATGTGTAACTCTGCAGGATAAGCCAATGTGGTTTTGATCAGAAGGTCAACTGTTCAAATCCCAAACGTAGCAGAGGGATTTTACCATTTGGTCTGAGATTGAGGCCCTTAGTCCCCAATTGCTCCAGGGACTGGTGACCCTGCTCTTTCCCAAAAATAAAATGTGCAATGGTAATGAAAGAATAGTGTCCGGGGCAAATTTTTTAAAAAAGAATACTTGATTTATGGTTTGGAAAGATGTAAACAGCAGGGGCAGGGAGAGCAGGTGAAGTGTGCTGGTGACGTGTTGTTGCCCTCGGGGCATAGTGGGCGGCACACAGCCGAATTATAATCAGAGCTGACTGTCTGCGCGCAGCAAAGCGCTTTCATCACACAGCCCTGCCCATAGTGGCTGGCAGCGATCTCATAATACAGCAAAGGCAGGAATAACCGGAGCGTCCTCCACGAGGTCCCAGAGTGTAGGTGTGCGCAAAACCTCTGGGGTAACTATGGCAACAGAAAGGTTCCCATCGCAAGCGGTGGGGGTGGACGCCGGCGATGAAGAGAGGAGGCAGGCAGACGGAAGCATCCGGAGCCTTTGCCTGGATTTCCTCCCCCAACATCCCGGAAATAGATCCCGGTGATGGAGATGATACACATTCCTCGAGGAGAACTTTTGTTGGAAAAGGTGAAGCATTTAACTGTAACTGTGAGTTAGTTCCTCATGCTCCTTAGCACAATTATAACAACACGAGCGTCTCTACACTCAGAATGCAGCAAATTATCTCCATAAATAGTACAAACTTCTGAAAAACAAATGAAAACAATACCCACAAGCCATCTGTGGTGTAATGAAGACACCCAGCTCCAAGCCGGACTCATGTGGAAAGTGTGCAAGGTGTGTAAGGTGCTTTGGTCATGCTGCCCCGTGTCTGACAGTGTCTGCGCAGTGATGTCTCACGGGCCGAGGAGCCACTTACATGTTCAACGGCAGCTGGACCTTGGCGGCGGCGAGCAGGTCCGCAGACCCTGAGGTGACTCTGGGCAGGGCCACCGCGGCCGAGGACGAGGTCGCGGCGAATGAGGAGGAGTCCTGCAAGCCAAAGGATGAGGGGAAACGTCATTACCAGGTAAGCGACAATAGGGGAATCTGGACTTCGGGTGGGCAACTGCGGAAGCAGTCTGGGGCCTAGGAGATGACCCAGGTGGGAGGGGCTGGGCTTTAAGGGCCCAGAAGATGGCCCAGGTGGGAGGGGATGGGCATTAAAGGGCTCAGAAGATGGCCCAGGTAGGAGGGGATGGGCATGAAAGAGCCCAGAAGATGGCCCAGGTGGGAGGGGATGGGCATTAAAGGGCCCAGAAGATGGCCCAGGTGGGAGGGGCTGGGCATTAAAGAGGCCAGGATGAAGCAATGATTTCCAGATCCTGGGAATTATGTGCTGCAGTACAATGTATGGCAAGGATCTGCTGCCCACACTTACCGACGGCAAATAGTTGATGGGCACTGACCTTTTCACTATGCTCTGATGTAAAAGCACAAAGCGGACAAAGATTATTAGAGGTAACAAGGTGTATTTTAACCAGCGGGGTCACATCTGACACGTCACAGTCTAACAGGCAGTGCCTTATCCTGAAAGTCCCTTGTGCAGAAACTCATACACTTACCCTGCCACTTTGCCTTCTCAGGGATTGTAGAGCTTAAATTATTATGATAAATAATGAATCAAAGATGCTCTCTGTGACTGTAAATGTACAGGATAAAACATTTCTTATCTCCACAGTAAGCAAAAAAACACATCCATCGGACTGCGACAGCAATTCAAAGTCCCTGGTGTCTGCAACTTCTCAGTGTGAATTGCACTGAGAGAGATGGAGAGCTGTCATTGAACATAAGTCTTCTTCTAATGCTCGCAGAGAAATGCAGAGCTGACCACAACGAGCCCGGCAGTTTAATTGCAGCATGGATGTGACAGCTCACTGGCTATGAGGAAACTTGGCAATCAATCTCATGGATGAAGGTTTCCCCAGCAACCCAGGGCTCGTTTGCACTTGCAAACAGGCCTAAGCTGAGGAGAGGCTACGGAGATCTATAGCGTTGCCTTGGCAGCAACTCAATGCAAATTACAGCTGAACTTTGCCCATATTAGAACTCATTACAGACAGTAATGTTATTCAGACAGCAGATGCGAATGAAATAATTCGTGTCTACAAAGTTACCCTGCGTGCCATTTGTGTGCAGAGGGGCCGCCTTGGGAATGTAATCTACCCCGCTTTACAGGAAGGGGGCATCGCTGAGCCTGTTCCAAGGCATGCTGTGAGGAGACAACATACCGGCAGCTCCTCTCATTACCGCGAGGTTCCCTCATTTGGGGCCCGACAGCACGCACAGGACTGAAATTACTACAGCAGATCAGTAACGAGTCCAGGTCTCTGATGGGGCCCTTAAAGTACCTTCATGTGCATCCGAATTCAAGTTGTATCAAATAAAAAGACCAAGCCACGATTAAATGACAGCAGTCTGCGTGTGCTGAGGGAACTGCATGATTCATACTGTGGGGTTTATGGGCGTGCTATCAAAACACACATTACAGGGGCAGAAGTGGACCTTTGAGAAGCTTCTCTGACAGCCCTTGGTGTGACGTAACCACAGTTCTGAGTGACGAGCCCCAACCTCCATCACCTAGCACCACAGCCCAACGTGCTGTGTGAAGACAGCCGGATCTGCTTCTCCACTCGTGACTCCACTCCCCCTTGCCGTCAGGGTCGACCCACAGACCCCCTTTTCCCATCAAAAACACATCACTGTCTAACAGCCCTGTCCTTTGAGGATCTTCTCAGACATGACAGGAATTCACAAAACCACCAAGGAGGACCGGAGGAAGCAGCTGAGGAAGCCGAGGTGGAGCAGAGTTCAGCATTAAACATTCCCCATGTTCTCTAAAGGTCCAGAGCATCTAATGAGAGTGAAGTCTGGGAATATACGTGTTCACATCGGGGTACGCCTGAGACGTTTCAGATGTTCAGACCTGACATTCTGTGGAAGAGGTAATGGAAGCAGGCAGCAGGCTCTGGGAAAGCTGCAGTGAGGATGGTCCTTCCTAATGACCCATGTGTCTTCAAAGGAATGTCATTCATGTCCACCTCATTCATCTGCAGCAGCCCTGAACAGTTTATTACTGCAGTTTCATGCCTCTGTGATAAGACCGATACCATGTTTCCAGGCAACAGGGGGAAAAGAATCCACCTGATTCTGGTTTCTTATCACATCCACGGCAAGGCGACGAGAGCGAAAGGGCTGTGGAGATATAGTGACACGGGAAACCTGTAATTGAGGAATTGGCTGCCAAAAAATTACCGGATAAATGGAGCTGAGGACCCTCCCCTTGTGATGGGGGGGGGGCGGAGTGGCTATACACCGGACTGCTGGCATGCCGACGCGCGGTGGGGGCAGGCTGTGTGGCCCGCGCGCCTGAGTTTGCTCTTGATAGGCCATGATGCATGTGCTGCCTTAAACAGCCACCTTAGTTACAGCAGTCAGCCAAACAAATGAATGATAGCGGTAATGAATGCCTCAGGCGCTCAGGCCTCCGTGCCCCAGACGGCCAGGCCTACCTTCAAACGAGGGCTGTATTGGCGAATGGTATTCGCTACATTCTCACTCCAGCCATAACGCATTTACTGCAAGGGGAGAGGGGTCAACCAGGACAGGCTTGCAATGCCGCCGCTGAAATAAGTACTGCTTGTGCGGCCATTTAAACATCCCCTTTGCGCGATTCTCATTTCATGGCCCAGCCAAGGGTTTCGTCCCACAGTGACGGGATTATAAAACTCCAGTGTACGCAGCTGGATGTTTTAATGACACAGCACTGGCTGAATCCCTTCTGGTATTTCAACCAGGTAACAAATCTATAGCCGACCAAGTTTGACATGGGAGAGATTGGTAGGAGTTGTCTGCAGTTTCAGTCACACACCTCCGTGGGGGCGCTAGAGGACAGGTGCGGGCAGTCGCTAATGCGGGCGGCGGCGCGCGGGTCCGATGAGCTGATGAGCACAGGCGCGCTGATCTCCATGGAGTGCCGGTTGCTAAGCGCCTGGGCTGTGCGTTGGGTGATGCTCAATCCCGTAAATGAGTGCCTCTTCTTGGCGTTCTTCTTGCCGTCGGGCCGCCGGTGGATGGCGCTGGCTGGGTTGCTGCTGTCGGGCGGGGTGCCGGGGCTCGAGCACGAGGCCCCCGAGGAACCGGGCCGGCCGCTCGCCCCGGGTACCGGGCTCGGCTTGTCGATTTCCATCAGCTGCTTGGCCGTCTCATTCAGCTGCGGGGGACAAAGGAGACAGAAGGATTGCTTGTCTGCTCAAGGAATTCAAATCAAATCCTGCAGCTCAACAAGTTTAGCACTTCACTAACAAGGCACAGATTGTGGGTTTGAATCCTAGCAAGCACACATAAATTATAACTTTTCCCTCTATTGTAATTCACTATGGATAAAAGTGTCATGAAAATATAAATGTCCCTAACCGACTACTATAGAGAGGAACCACAAAATCGGAAATAAATCCAGGTTTCAAATCAAATTCTCACATTTTGCTATGGATTAGCTTAATAAAACAGGCTGCTTAAATTGATAATGATTGTACTCTGGTACGGGCTCCTGCCTTTTACATTACAGGAATGCTTGGCTGTACTCCACCGTTCAGAGTTATTTTCAGAGTTAAGTGCCACTCTCAGCTGACTCATTTCAACCGGAGGCAGACTCGTGTTTGAATCATTTGGTTTAGCTTGTGCTGTGTGACAGCTGTGCAGCGGTTGCTATAGAGAAATAATTGGAAAGCTTTTCAGCAATTCGTTACCAACAACTCTGGCGTGGGCAATATAACTCAGGTTAATGTAGTACCACCTCCAACCTCCTATGGAACTATCAGCTTGGGGTGGGAATTGAGTTAAGTTATTTTAAAGGTGCAATTGAAACTCTGGGCTAAAAAAACAGATTTGATATAGCTGTCTGATGATTTCAACAAAGACAGGAAACACCTGAGGATAGATGGATGGAAAGAGGATTTGAAAAGCCAAAGGGCTCTTACTGCAGCATGTGCAGTCGAGTAAATTGTGGTTGGGGTTCAAGCCTGCTCCCTCTCAAAATGACCATTTGCAGAAAATGACCATGTTCCCGCTGAGTTACCATGCCAACCCATTTTCGGCATTATCCTGTTTTGAATTAAGAGGCCAGTTTAAAAAGCACTATCTTGCCATTTACCATCCAGCGGTTATTCTGGAAATGTTTCAAGTTTGTTAAAGCAAAAAAAAAAAAAAAACTCCATATGCGCCCAAAGCCCCCCAGAAAAAATAAACACCAGCACATGCCCAGACGTAAGAAAAATTCTTTCCACATTTTGAGTGAAGATTCTGTGAAATGCTAATTAAGGATTTTACATTCTGCTCATGGCAGTATCCACTAAAAGAACAAAATGTGTTCAATCACAGAAGAGGTGTGAGACAGCCCTGAAGAATTAAAGGCAGCATTTCAGTAGATACACCAACAGATACCTGCATGAGCATCATATCTTAAGTGATGCATGAAAAGACGAGACTTCCAGTCAAAGCTGCATTTTTGCAATTTTAATAAAGACCAAATAAGACATTTCTAGATGCTACTTTAAATCATTGCTGAGTTCTGATTCACCTGGGCCCCTCCCAAAGGGCCCTGTACTTGATCCCCTCCTAACACACTGCTGGCTCCATGTAGTCCAGTCTTGGTTACATTAGCAGCCCGGCTTCCAGGCACTTGGCGGAGAACCGAACCCAGCGGCCCGGTAGCCATCATCCAGGCAGAATACGCTGGTATTTATCGGTACCTTACAGGTCATTTTCGGATGGTAGTTTTTCTGGCCTCTCCAAAGGGGCATGTTCACCTAGGGAGGCCCTACCAAGACCTTCAGCTTCAGGGGACAGGTAATATCACTGGTATATTGCTCCGCGGATCATTAAATACCGCAAACCCCTCCATCATAGATTGGTTAGGTGGCTCCAGTTCTGTGAGCATGAAACAGCTCCATGATGGGGAAGTAGGTGCTAAGGCTCGTGGTTCACCAGTCAGTCTACATTCCAGTCATCACCGACAGTCATAAGCTGTAGGCAATAACGAAAGAACAAGAGAGCAAGTAAAAACGTCTGAAATTTCTCCACAGGGTTGCCAGGCTCTGTGAGAGTGTGGAGTTTGGAGATCTCCAGGGAGCATAAAATAGAGACCCTATACCTTCCGGTTGGGAAGAGTCAGCTGATGTAGGTCAGGCATCTCATAAGGATACCATTTGGTCCACCCAACTGGACGATGGCCCTGTGGCAGATCCAGAGCAGATGGACGGATAGAGATGGATGGACAGAGGGATGGATGGATGGACATTCCAAATGAGTGCAGTTGAAATTTGATGCATTCCCTCAAGTTTACCAGAGCAATGCTTCCCAGCCAAGATCAGAGCATGCTGAAAGCTGATAATAAAATGACAATACAGACACGGGAAGGCAGATACCCGATCACTGAACCCAGAGAGCTGTCATGTCTCTGCTCAGTACCAGGGCCTCATAGCAAACAACAAAGCTACGTCTAAACAATCATTAATGCCTCCTTCTAGAGGGGAGCTTATGGGGGTGTCTCACGGGTTATAAAATGGTGGTTTAAAAAACATAAATAAGAACCATCTCCCATACCAGACTTTCACAGTACATCCATCTATCTGAGGGGAGTACTGTCACTGAATAAGTAAATAAGTTATTACCGTAACTACCTAAATACCAGTAACTGAAAAGTAAATAAATGAATACAAGTTTATTTGGTTAAACAAAAAACACCATACAATATGTAGTTAAACACTGTATGAGATGTTTCTCCTGATGATTACTACAGTGACTGCAAGAGTGGATGATGCCATCACACAGTATCAGTAGAAAGTATCGTAGCCGATATCAGATCAAAATTGAAATCTAACTACTGAATGTGCGTTGCTATCACGTCCATCATAAATCCATAAGTTGAACCACCGTAAAAAGTGAGTAGTATTTAAAAAGCAGCCAGCAGAAACGCAAGGGAGAGAGACCCTCTGCTATCGTGAGCATCAAAACACCGCTGTTTTTTGTTTTACCACAGAGTTATGCCCTGCCTGGCTGCTCAGTGGTGGTTACTGCAACTGGGGGCAAACGACGTTCAATTATTCATTAGCTACGCAATTAAGAGGCTGAGCAAAAAAGAAAAAAAACAAAAAAGAAAAAAAACAGGCAAAATTCATTTACACAACACAATCACAGACAATTAACTTGTCTAACAAACCTAGATTCCAAGTCGTACCATATTCTAGCCTAGAGCACTCTGTCTCAATGCCAGTGTAATAGCCCAATAAATCTTACTGAAATTCTGAGCAGTTAAGCTCGCAACAGAATAGAGGGCACCTACAGTAAATGGCGATAAGAGGGGCACTCACAGAGAGCCGCCCAAATGAGGACCATTCTCTTTTAATTGCATGAACATGCTCTAAAACAGACATTTCTAAATAAACAGACATTTTTAAACAGACAAGGTTAAGGAGCAAATCATTAGGCCAAATACTAGTGTAATGTAAAAATTCCTGTATAATTAAATGTAATTAGACACACATTACACAGCAGGGCAGCTTCCCCAGGGTGTTGGGTATATGACGATTAATTCATTCGGTTTGTCTACATTTTCACATGGTCTTGACTGGTACAGGATGGGTTCACAAGGGGCCTCATTAAGGAGCGCTGAACTTTTAAACTGGAAGTGCCATGTCAACAACACAGGTCATGATGGCAGCTTCTGCTCCGAGACTTAATTACGTTAAACCTGAGCGTTCAAAAATTCAGCTTCACCTAACAAATCAACACGGAAATGTCACTTAATAGCACAGGAATGATGGGCTGTGAAAAATAATGTTCAACAATTAAGCAGATTTGGTCATGGTAGCATATTGCTTGAAGAATTTCAACTATAACCAAAAGATGACTAGATAAAGTCCCTAATTATTAGTTTTAATTTCAAGCCAGGTAGACAACAACACACTTACACAGTAAGCAATTTAAAGTGGAATGTAGTGGGACATTAATTGATTAATACATATAGTTGAAGACATCTAAACATATTCACATTCACTTGTAAATGCTCTCAGTGACTATTGACTTTGCTATAGTCTTTTTGGGAATATCTAACTTCGGTTTAAGTATAAAGTTGTAAAAATCCTTTCCACAAGAGGCCTAAATCTTCCATCTGACACTCTCAGAAGTTGTGCTCAAACAAACCATTTGAAGCCAAAACCCTGAAATGAAAGTTTTATTTAGAAAAAAATATATAACCTTTTGGGATTCTACCAGTGGGAATTGTATTTATACTGTCAGAAGTCACAGTGAGAACACCCCCCAGGTGAAATAAGAGGCGTCCCTTTGCAACAACAAACCTATGAATAATATATTCTTAACCTTTCTAGATATTTGCCATTTCATTGAAATAGTCCACAAGAAGTGTAGAATAATAAAAAGACCAACCAAAGATGTCAAGGTCTCTTTTAACTTCCCAGTTCATTAATGTGTTATATGTACAGTACTGTGCAAAAGTATTAGGCAGTCCAAATAAATGTTTAAAGCTGTTTATCTGGGTAGCAAGTGCACTTTGGCTTAGAGCAAAAAACACAATTTAACATTAGAACATGTGCAAATTAAGAGTAACACAATAAAAACTAGTAATAATTTCTTCAGTTTTCTAAAAAGTTACTGATATCTAGTTGGATGGCTAGATGAACACCGCTTTAGTTCCCAAACTTCTCCTCAGGGGCACCTCAGCCGTTCCATGATTTTGTTAAATTTCACCAACAGCTCAATTAAATAATTAAATAGATTGGTTTAAAAAGTCAGTGACAGATTGACTCGCTGTATGGGGTGAGCTAGTGGCCAAGTCAAGAAATACATGGCTGCACTGGACGGTCGCTGCAAATACTGGGGTGATTTTAGCAGAGGTTCTGAAATGGCTACGCTGACACACTTTGACAGGCATAATATCATAGTTTTACACCAACACAAGGATAATCTAAGCATCATTTTAAATTACATCAGTATAATTTTGTCATGGGCATTGGTGGCTTTATGGTTAGGGAAGCGCACTTGTAATTGAAAGATTGCAAGTTCAAATCCCCGACCAGCAAGGTACTGCCCCCAAGCACTGCTCCCCAGGCACTGAATTAGCGGCCCCCTGCTATGTCACGAAAGTCACATATGGGTCAAATGCAGAGGACACATTTTGTTGTTGCGCACTGTGTGCTGTGGTGTNTTCCATGATTTAGTTAAATTTCACCAACAGCTCAATTAAATTATTAAATAAATTGGTTTAAAAAGTCAGTGACAGATTGACTAGCTGTATGGGGTGAGCTAGTGGCCAAGTCAAGAAATACATGGCTGCACTGGACGGTCGCTGCAAATACTGGGGTGATTTTAGAGGTTCTGAAATGGCTATGCTGACACACTTTGACAGGCATAATATCATAGTTTTACACCAACACAAGGATAATCTAAGCATCATTTTAAATTACATCAGTATAATTTTGTCGTGGGCATTGGTGGCTTGATGGTTAGGGAAGCACACTTGTAATTGAAAGATTGCAAGTTCGAATCCCCGACCAGCAAGGTACCGCCCCCAAGCACTGCTCCCCGGGCACTGAATTAGCTGCCCCCTGCTATGTCACGAAAGTCAAATGCAGAGGACACATTTTGTTGTTGTGTGCTGTGGTGTTTTGACAATGACCACTAAATTCTAATATATATATATATATATATATATATACACACACTGTATATATTGTAGAGATATATGGCTCTGTGCTCTGGAAGCAGAGTGGTTTCACTGTGCCGCCTCAAATCAAGGTTCTGATTATTACAGACACTGGCAGACTCTGCTTTCTCAGTAGCACGTGAACAAAATGTACATCAGGTAAGTAACTAAAGATGAATAGCTAATAAATACATGTACAGCACAGTGCAAAAGTCTAAAGAATTGGTCTAAAGCTGTTAATCTGGGTAGTAAGTGTATATTTGCTCAAAAAATAAACAATTGAACATTAAATCATATACAAATTAACAGGAACACAATCAAAACTGACAGTAATTTCTTATATTCTCCAAAAATTAACTGATAACGCTTCAGTTCCCAAACCCCTCCTCAGAGACATCTTAGACATTCCATGTGTCCATGTGTCCATGTGTATTCCATGTGGTTGCTGCAACAGCTCATTTAATCAATCAATCAATCATACTACTAAGTCAGTGAGGTATTGATTAGTCACATAAGGTGGGGTAGTGGTTGAGTCAAAATAATACATGGGTGTATTGGATGGTTGCAGAAAATACTGGGGTGACTTCAGGAGAGGTTTTGAAATGGCTAAACTGACACACAGACAAATCATACCATTACTCAAACATGAAGCTCATTTAAACACCATTTTCCCTGACTGCCTGAGACTACTTCACAATACTGTAAATATAAGAAACAGGTTTGATTCCCATCCCTGGCTCTGCTGGCATGTTCTCCCTGAGTTTGCGCAGGTTACAGTATCTCCCACAGCCCAGAAACAGGCAGCTAAGAGAAGGTGAGTCTCCACGTGTGCCCAGCTATGGACTGGCCTGCCAGAGTGACCCTGTCTGCTAGGATATAATAAAGCGATTGTACAGAAAATTATTGAATGTATAATAAATTATACACTGATATGACCTGAAATGTACATGATGCAATGAATTTATTCAGCTCTATCTTTTTTCAGTATAATCTGTATTATGTTTTCATCATTCATCGTACATAACTAGATAACAACGAGACAACACAGAGCAGCTCAATCACAGAGTCATCTAAAGAGGCCAATCTAACGGAAGTACATCGACGTGAATATACGGTCCTCACGATTAATTTGCCTCCTTGTGAAAGATAATTAAGCCTCAGCGAACCGTGAGGCGTTCGGCTGCTCCCGATTTCACGCTGATCATCAATATGTCAGAGGCGATCGGCGCTATTCTGCACGCCACTCCCCGCGGACGCAGCGCGCCTGTAGATGGGGCGATACGCGCTGCACAGAAGGTGTTCCTATGCCGGGACCTGTGAAAGCCGGCGCGTTATAACGGAGCCCCAGCCGGCACTCTGCGGGCCCCGGGCTCCAGGCCCCAGGGATGAAAGGCTGATGGAAAGTTAACAGCTTTGGCTCCAAAAAACAGCAGCGAGGGACACTGCGGGAATTTGGGTTTAGGAAGCAGCCAGACAGAGCCGGGTCTCAGTGATTTACTCAGACCTCCTAACAATAATTACACCATTTAAACATCTGGGGAGAGCATGGGAGGACTGAACTAAACATCAAGAACACAACAAAAGAAAACCGGTATTATTTTTTTTTCCTTAAGCTCCAGCTGGGTGCATTTAATGCTGGTTATTTTGACGGTAAATAGCTTCAGACTGCACTGGCTTTAACAACATAAACCTCGAAAAACAAAGGCAGACACTTTCTTTGTGTTTAACGGAAATGATTTTGTTATTGTGAAGTGCGCAGAAAGGTCATTTTCTAAGGATAAACAGCTTTTAGTATTCTGTATGTGAGTGTATGTCACACTACATTATACCAAGAACATTTTTATGCAAAGAAAAATATACCTTTCCTAGTAAACACAGATGAAGTAAATAAAAAAGAACAATGAAATGGTCCAATGTAATCCATCAAGTATTAAATACTTCCTTCCCCTGACGTTTCTTTTGTACCACTCCTCCAAACAGCAGGTCTCACACTGCATGTCTCCCCGTGAATACTGGATATGTTCAAGGAACACCAAGAGCTGTACTGTTTATTGAATATTTAGTGGCGGGGGGCACTGGGGGTGTCAGACCAGTGTTTGACAGCTCTGATGGGTCACAGCCTTAGAACCAGCCTGTCCCAGGAAGGCATCTGTCACAGCGGTCGCGACTGTAACCCATAACGGGGCCATCAAATTTTAATGAAGTTTAATGTAGTAACTTTCAATATGTATTTAAACTCCACTTGTGTGATTTCAAGACAGGATGGATACCATGGATGCTGTATTTTAATAGAGCAACAGTCCAATCATAAAATAATCACTTGACCATAAGCCAAACTTAATCATTAAACAGAGCTACATAAAAGAGAATTAGCAATTTCTCCAAAACTTTATGAAGTTAGCAGTCTCATAAGAACAATAATTAATGATCAAACCTATAGATTATCTTTACCCCAGTCAACAAAACTCTGGAAAGATATATGCTCCATTCTCTATACAAATGAATGTACAGCTACATAAATGGTTGTAATATACCAATAAGCTGTTTTTAAAGGGACCTCTATCCTCACACAGGATATTGACCAATAGCCCCATAGCACAAAGACCCAGCCAAACCCTTTTTGTGTATCTAAGCAAAATTTGATTCACCTAGTTGTCATTTGTCATCTTCTTTCCCATTCTGACAGGCTGATCATATGGGGGTGCCCCCCGGTGGCCGCTGGGCCCTAAGCAGCTACTTAGTTCGCTTCTGCCTTGGGCCGGCCCTGCCGACTAGAGTCCACATTGCTCTTCCGGCCCACAGGCCAGCGCTCACAGTGGGCACAGCTTAAGGGTGTGCTGGCCCTGGGAAAACCCAAGCACACCGCTGTAATAGATACTGTCTGACATGTCAAACCACGGCCTTCCCCTTGACTCTCCTTGCCCACCCCTGTATGAGCTCCGTGGGAAACTCGCTCCCTGTAAATCAACACGCGAGACGTCTGGCGCGCCGCTTTGCACGCTTCATGACGGGCCTGTTCTCCTGACATGACACCCCTGCCTGGCTCATACCTCTCAATAAAACCTCTGGCACTGCCACATACCCGCCGGGCATAAATCTCCTTGACGGTTTAAAGCCTCTGCTCATTTATTTCCCTGCCTTTCTCCCACGGAAATAGGTACAGGTGTATGAGAGGTACCAGCGAAGGCCCACATGTGGATGGTTGAGGCAGGAGGGTTAGGGTACATGAGATAGCAGGTCATCTTCTGTTGATTTATTAGAACGTTTTCACCTCTGGCTGCGCCATGTAACGTTAATGAGGTCAAGATAAAGTTAATAGACTCGCAGAGGAGGTGGCCGGGACGAAATACTCACTGTGAGACTTTGGGGGCCACTTTGGTGGAAACACCGGAATTCATAACAAAACCGAACCAACCATTTACACCAGAAATCTAAGCCAACTCAAAAAATTCACACAATCTGCCTAAAAAGTCGAGAACAGGGAGGTATAAACACTTACCTCCACATACAAAATGGGGAAAATTCCGATTTTATCTCCCAGCATACCCTCTGCCCAGTTGTCATCCACTCTTCGAATCACAGTAAGAACTTCATCCTGTGGGTAAATCATCCACATGGGTGAGAGGACAGTAACTGAAATAAGAGGCAGGGGTCACAGTGCAATAATCACGGCGTGATATTGATGATACAATCACCGCAGTATAAGAGGCACGATGCAACAGTTATAGTACGACAGTCATGATTCAACAGTTATAGTGCAACAGTCATAGTATGAGAGTTACAGTGATAGTGTAAGTGGATGCTAAATGACTGCACAGAAGTATAATATACGTGTCACATGAGTGGACTGATTAAAAAAGAGAGTCAATACTTCAACTAGAAGTAAAGAAGCATAAAACTATATTAAATCTCTCAAATAATCTATAGCCTGTATAAAAAAGAACAAACATTCATTAATTTTACAAGGTTCACCGCATAACATGATGATGATGACATTTCCATTTTTCAGTTCATTCCCATATGTTTGTCAGTAAAGGGCAAGTCATTTACAATCACTTCATTCAATATGTACCAACTTTCATCTGAAGACACTTCAAATAAATGACACCAGTTAATGTCCATCATTGATCTTGACCAAATGTCAAATTAATGCATTGCTACATTACTTTATTCCTATTAATCATTCACTATAGCACTATGGCTGGTTAATTAAATTTGTTTAAGTAAATGAATTGGAATCCTTGAGTCTTCATCCTTGGTGGTACCGTATCTGAGTAACACACTGCTGTTAGATTAATTATGTGCTGGTCTGCTTTCTTAGCTTGACTTTCATCAACCAGCAACATGATTATTTATAGCCAAGGGCAATTACAACATTTACTTGCTGGAGTGGCCACATTAACATTTCGACACTAACTTGCTAGAATATCTTTTATCCTAAATCAGTCTACGTGCGACAATGGTGCTTTACTGTCCTTGAATCTGACCCAGTTTCACGAAACTGGACCATTTACAGTATGATGGACCAAAACATTTCCCAGATGATGCAAGGGGGAACCATGGAAAGCTGCTGTGAGACCTGCTCTGTCCTTCAGAACAAGGCAGAACTTTGATGAAAAGTGATTCACAGGCCCATATATGGTAAAAACATGCCCCTTCCCCCCCATAAATGAGATGTTCATTGGTATGCGTAGCTGACCGTTCATGTGTTTTTCTGAGCCATTTTACGTCATCTTCCATTGCCGAAAACCAGTTCCAGTTCTCCAGAAGAGAAGTATGGAAGATGGTATAAATCTCTGGATGTCGTTCTTGGCCCACCCCTAATATCAAGGATACATCGGTTGTATCCTCTCTAATGAGAAATAAATCCCATGATTCATTGCATCCCAAGTTCATTTTTGTTAGCAAGACCACTCTTGCCAAGACCACAAGCACAATCTCTGTGTTCTTGGTGTTGAGAAACACCCCATGTCTTTGGACAGACTCCAGGAAAATTATGATCACTTAAAATAACTATCATGCCATAAACTTTATTAGCATAATCATATATTGGTATTAAATTTGAACGAGTGCCATGACAATATTGGATTGATATTAATAAGGATCAGTGGCGATTAACCAGGGGTCAAAGAGTCTCAAGCGGGTGGAAATACTCTCACTCTCCCAGCTGCACGTGTAAGGATCATGAATTACTGTCCTGAGAGAAAGTGGTAGGTCACTACCAGCTTATATATATTATATAGACATACACTGAATCACAAGTTTCATTGTGAGCTATTCTGCATGAGATGGGTCAAAGAATCCCCCTGTGACCCACGGTGCAAAAGCAGCCAGAAGATAGATGAGTGTGTAGTTATAGTACATATACCAGAAATAAACATCTATCTGAAGGTCAGAAAATTGACTTGGAAACTGGGGGACAACAGCTGTATCCCAGAGAAAGTTTATCTTACATGATCCTTAAGGTGCCCCTAAATACACATTTTACCAGAGTAATACATTTTACTAATAATTATTATGACAGGCATATTTTTTAGATGTATATAATTAGCTTTATCTCACAAGACCACATAGTAGGCTATACAAAATTCTGGCATCAGTGACATTTAACCTGTAATTAAATATTTCAGTTCTTAAATATTAGGACGTTTTAATACATTTATCAATGCATTTTCTTTTTTTATGTTTTGCTGTTTTTGCCATTTACAGTACATTAAGTCTAATAACTCTTGTGTGAATGAAGCGCTGGGTTACCGTGCCCAGTAAATGTGCTCTATGGCTTTAACGGCAACAGAACACATCCTTCTAGTCAAGAAAAAATGTTTTGGTACTGAACTGCACACATGGGCAGGGCATGCATGCATGATCAGGGTATCCTTAAAGCTGAACCTCCAGGCACCCTTAAAGCCCGGAAGAAGCCAGCAATAGAGGGACCCCTCCGCAGTGCAAAGAAATGCCGTCCGGAGCTGCGCATCGGCGGCTGGCGTCACCCCCGTTTCCTTGACAAATTCTCCACAACAGAAAATCACACTCGCCAGGAGTTCGGCTCTCCCACGTTTGAAAGTTTAACTAAAACAACAGGGAGTGAACAGAACTAAACGGTTATATTCCGAAACCTGAAATATCAGCCACAGGTAGAGTTTGTTAATGCCAGAAAAGCCGTGCGTTGTTCTTCATAAATCAGTCCTCTCCGATTGCGATAACTAGTGCTGGATGTGTTGTTTGTAGTCATGCACGCAGCAGAGTTCAAATGTGCGCACATCAATGTAGCCTTTAAGTTAGTTTTACTCTCGCGCATCTGTTATGCTCAAATGAAAGAAACATTTAAATCAATTTAAGTAGTGTCTGGCAATATGGCCTTTGTTGCAAATTAACACATTTTACAATACTGCAATTCCAATTAAATTCTCATGAAAAATGCATTTTCTAGCTTTTGGTAAAATGTGCATTAGTAGAAATATTCCCTGACTATAACGTTCAGAGCTGCAGCCTTCTTAGTGCGTCTGAAAGTACCGCAGCCCGTTTCTGCACAGATGTTTTTAGAAAATCAAATAAAGCAGCAGCTCCTTCGTGCTGATGCTTGAGTCTTTTCTGTAAATTAAATTAACTTGTGCACAATTGGTACAAGATGGTGGTTATAGCTGGTTTGCAAAATATCAAAAGCACATTCATGTAACATCATTCCAAAGAAAGATGCAGATGAATAAATTTGGGAAATTATCAGAAAATTATTTTCAATGTAGATTATTTTAGGACATGGTCAAAGTCACTGAACTATTTCAAGACTACTGGTCTGTTAGATCAAAATATCATATCATCACTACTAATATACTTTTAACACAAAATATAGCGGTATATATGAATGCTTTTTATTTGCATTGCTTGCTAAAGTTTAGTGTGCAATAATCTACTGCCATTAAATTGCACCTGTTTTTATGCTCTGTATTCAAATAGAACCTAATTGAATAATAAGTCATAAAAGTCATAAAAAATTAAAAAGATAGAAAACAACCAGTGATAATTTGCTCAGATATAATTTTTTCATGAAGATATACTGTTATGTGTCTAGACTAGAGGAAATGTTTCATTGTAATACATCTGCATTGTACTGGTATGTGTGTATGAAGTGAAAATATGTTTGTGTGGCTAACAGAAAGACAGTTACCGAAAGGGCTTAAAGCTAGTATCTGGCCAGTAAGTGCAGATTTGCTTAAAAAACACACAATTGAACATTAAAACATGCAAATTAAGAGTAAAACCTAACAAGAGTTTCTTCTATTCTCCAAAACGTTACTCTAGTCGGATGGCTAGATGAACACCGCTTCAGTCCCCAAACCTCTGCTCAGGGGCACCTCAGCCAGTCCACGCATGCATTACATTTCATATATATATGGTATTTAGATGTGTGACGTCATGGCGCCTTATATGGCAATTCTGTAGAACTGTATACGAGATTCCGTCACGAATGTCAGGCCATTCACTGTGGAAACAACACTATCACTCTCCTGTACCCTGTCTTCTCTCACAAACGTCCTCACTTGCACAAACACAACACACTTAAAATGGGGACTAGGAGATCTTCTCCTAGAGACCCATAGAACTAAATATAGGAGTTTCACCGAATCTCTTCTTGGTAATAAATGGGACTTTCTGCCAGCACTATTTATGAACTAAATGATTCAGAGTTTCTGGCAATTGAGTAACTTATTTAATGGCATTTTCCAAATAAATGCCAGATCTGGCCCCGTTTTTGACAGGCTTCTTACTCATCCTTATGCCGTACCAGCAAACACAGTGGGATGAGAATCGTGACACAAACGCTATGCCACACTGCCTTAGCAGTCTTGCTATTTGTGCTGTGCTGTTAACTAACCAGGCTAGTCTCAGTTTGCACAATCAAGTAAGATAATCTTTATGAAGCTTAATCGAGATGACAGGATTAAATTCCATCATTTCACATAAACTTTTTTATTGTATCAAACTGTTGGTTATGATACAAGGCCTTTAATGAGTTAAGTTTACATACGTGCGGGTCTGGAAGCGAGCATCTGTCTGCCGGAGCAGGAGCTGAGAATAAACCGTTTTAACGGAGAATAGGGGTTCTGAAAATAAAACCTGTAAGAATAAAGCCAGCAAGGGGGTTCCCAGCACATTTTAAGGGGGGGTGTTAAACCGGTAATTTTACTACGTGTCTACGTATCTGTGTTGGATGATTGCTGCAAATACTGGGGTGACCTTAGCAGAGGTTTTGAAAAGGCCAAGCTATCACATTTCAACAGACATAATATACTTTTACACCAACATGAAGATCATTTAAATATCATTTTCTTTGACGGCCTAAGACATTTTTGCACAGTATTGTATGAATTACATTACTAGAGTAGGCATAGTAAAGGGAAGAAGGATTATTTAGAATTTAGGCTTGGAATAGATAGGAAAAATTTTAAATCAAGCTTAACAGTTTAGGTGATTAAAGGGTGTTTATTGGTACATGTGATGTGTGATAAGGTTTCCAGATTTTACCTTTTTCCCCTTTGAAATGTTTACATACAGATCAACTTAGGTTAGCATTTTACACTACAGTGCCAGGAGGGGGCACAAGCAGAATTTTGCCCACACCCAGACCATAGAATCCAAGCATTTATCAACCTTTCTTTTCAGTGGCAAGTCAGTTTAGTAAGTCTTCTGTTCTTCTGTCCAGAACACTCTTTGGTGTTCTGTTCCTATTCTGCTTGGAGTGTGCTTTTCGAGTATGTGTGTGTGTTTTTTTTCCTTTGCTCCATCAGAGCTTCATGAATATTGTGTATCTGGCCTGCACTGGGCCCCCTTACTCAAATACCATTTTCCTCTGATAGAAGAGGAGGAAGCGCATTGAGAATGTTAAATGGCAGGAGAGTGGCAGGGACACACGCTGGCAGAATATCCTGGACTCCCGATAAGCCGAGAATAACAGAATGAACAAATGATATGCTTTGAATTTGAATTTGAAACAGCAGTGAATACAAATAAGCTGCTTGACGCCAGAAATTTACAATTTAACAATCAAATGTAGCTCCCCAATGACAGGCGATGTAGTGGGGAGGGGGGGGTAAAGTTTCCAGACTGATAAAAGTCATCACTTTGCTGTGAACACCTGCTTGACATTATTCACATCATACAATGTTCCGCTCCTGGGAGCGAGCCTGCTGGGCAGTTAATGTACCTTGGGTATGACTGTCATAAATGGAGAGATTACGAAGAGTGTTTTAAACAACCACTCTGTCCTCCGACATTCCTGTATACCAAGTAAAATTAACATATAACCTCAATATGTGACCTGACCTGTGGAAGGCTTAAAATTAATTGGTCAGAATAGCAAGTGTTTTCTCTCGGGCTACTACGCCTAAAAAAAAAAAAAAAAACTAAATCAGACTGCAAAAAAAGAGTCAAGCTTTTGCAAATCGCTGCTTTTTAATGAAAGGTGGCAAAGACCCACCGTTCTCCCTTTTGAATTGAAATATTTCAGAAATGGCATGTTAATGAATACACCGGCAGGTCTGAGAATTACCAGCCTGCCTATCACCGCAATGGACGCATGTGTTTCTAGGTACAGTGACTGTAGGAGCATGGAAACACTATACCGCTAGAGCAGGGACTCAAGCAGGTGGGGCCACACAGCTGGAGGCTTCAGGACGGTCAAATGCAGGGTCAGCTGTCTACCAGGAGTTTGTAGGTATTCTTAAAGTTTAAAGCAGCTTCCCCAGGTGTCCCAAATGCCAGGAAGTCAAGGTGAACCAATGACGTCCTGACAGGCATGAATCCTGCTGTATGCCCTAAGCGTCCTGGCACCTATGTGGAGAACACGTGGATGTTTCAGAAAAGCAAGGCGCTGTACATTGAACCCTGGTGCCCACATGTGAGTGCCACCTACCACACGGCACCAATCTCAGAGAGGAAAAATGCGAACCAAGTTGAAAGTTACCTCTGCTAAAAACGGTAACTCCGAGGCAGCAGAGATATGACAAAAAGTCGAGCGGTAAGGGAGAAAGTCTTCAGCCTTGGCATTATTATTTGTACAGGTGTATACGCTAAGAGAGTATTGTAAGTCGAGGCTCATTAATAAGACTAACCGCCTCTTTGAAGTGAAGCACCACGTGCGATTAGACTGGCTGCCAATGTAATGAGCCTTTAATGGGAGCGATGGGGCAGGTGGACACAGATTTATACGGCAAGCAGAAAGGCCATCGGGAGGTAGAGAGAGAGGCAGCTGAGAGTGTGCAGGGAGATTCTGACAGACTCGGATTGCTGTTGAAGCACCACGGAAGAAAAATTTTACATTGTAGCTCGGAGGGAGAAAGAAACATGGGTGGGAGGAAGGAGTTCAATCAACATCACATTCTGCCCATTTCTACCTAAGACAGAGGAACTGTATGATGGATGTAGAAGTGTAGATGATGTTGGTTCCAAAGCTGTAACACTGTCTGTGTGTTTCTGAAACTCAAAAAATGCATCTTCATAAAACATTACCTTAGTGAAGGTCAAGCAGTCCTTGTCCTGGTCCTTGTCTTTGACTTCAAAGTCATAAAGTGCCTTGCCTTGGGGCGGGGGCTGTGACAGAGGCTTGATGCACTGGATGTAGCTGGCCGGGAGGAAGCCGTGGCTTCCATTAAGCTCGCCGTGGTACCAGTTCTCGTCCACTTTCCGGCGCAAGATGATGATGTCACCCTTGTTGAACTTGAGGTCTCCCGGCTCCTTGCCTTCATAGCTGTACAAAGCCTTCCCACAAGGCAGCTGCGGAACATTCTGGAAGAAAAGTGGGCAAGGAATTTTTAATACTGGACTTAGGCCTGATGCATATGGAACCTATACACTTTCTGCAGGATATGCTGTCCAGTTAGACTTCACCTCATCCTGCTGTTACACAGGTGAATTCTAGAAGATTGACAGCATCATCCTTAACTTATTATTTTACTCCCGTAAAATAATAGAGACATGCTTTCACCGAACTACAATTAGAATGAACTTCACACCACATCCGAAGATAACAGCCCCGTGAGTGTAAATAATTATACAAAGATGGTTTAAAAACTGCCATAGAGCCCACTGAGCAGGAAGCAATGCTTGACATAATAATGCATCTGTCATGGGCTGGACCAAGTGTAGAGTAAAATCATTCACGATTCATTTGATTTTCCCATACAACCACAAAGACTCCTTAGTGCTGAGGAGCACGCCACCAGACAGGTCCCTGGCCAACACTCTCAGCTATCACTCCCCCTTTCTTCATGAACAGAGCTCATCTCCAAGGCAGTAAACAGTCACTGAAGTGTGGGGGAGACAAAACGACTCTGTCAGACCTGTGACAGCTTACCTCCTTCTTGCCGCCTACACTCCTCAAAATAAAAAGGAAAAGAGAAGCAAAATGAATAACCAGGCTCAGAATTACCCTCACTGTGGCACTTGTAGCGAGCACGAAAGAATTCAAAGACGGAGAATCCCTCCCTATTCTGTCTGCGTTCCCAAAGTAGCTGTACGTTGGCCAAGCTGATATGGCTTATCTCTGCTGCTCTTTGCACAGGTCAATGACAATTAGCCTCATTACCGCGCTAATGCGCGCTGCGTGACAGGGCTAACAGCTGCCTAGTGGGATCTTGGACATGCCCACAGAAGACCAGCCTCACATTCTCTTGGCCACACACCATTCTGACGAGTTCCCCCAGCTGAGCAAGAGCGAGAAATGCTCTGTTACAGCCAGCCATCACTTCTGTTCTCTTAAAGTCTCATTTCAGTCACAGCATGGATATCCAGGACAGAGTAGACAGGGAACATAGTTAGATCCAGTCTCAGGAAAGCAGAGTTTTCATCCCTCAAAAAATGTTCAAGTCTTGATTTCTCAATGTCAGCAAGGAAGAACATACAAAAATTTCAACTATTAATTCTGTGTATACATGTGTTTGTGTGTGTGTGTGTATAGCCTAAACATTTCATCTTCTACCGATACACATCAGGCAGTGGGCACAACAGGTGCATCAGTCTCTGTAGGATGACCTTGGCTTCTGTGCACAAACAGCATACAGTACATCTGGAGTCTCACAAGTTTGGAATTTGTCCTTGAAAAGCATTTAGAAGCTGTGCAAAAATAAACAGAACCTAAAAGCAAGCCTCAGAGGCGATCTAGCTACAAGCGCTGAAGAGGAGGATACATACTAGAACTTGTTTTTTGAACATAAGTGTGTTTGTTCCTAACCCAGTTCACATCATTAATATCATTTACAAATTAGAAATTAAGTCTAAGGTGCTTATGTAAGACAAAGTGAACAGAAACCATGTGACACGTGAGCAGGAGAACAACAGAAGCACACAAAAGGACAAAATGGGCATTGGATCTGGGCATCAGGTTCTGGGTATCTGGCTTGGCCCAAGAAACAAAACAATGGCCAGTTGTTTTATTACCAATCTGATTGAATGGTATTGTTGCTTGACCTCCATTAATGTCAATGCCCCACCCACCCAACTTACTGTTCTGCAAATGCCAAATGTGCTGATAACAATCCCACAGTCGCAAAGCATTGTTCGGAATATTTTCACAAGACCAAGGGCCACTAATGCCATCTCTGATGTAAGGGAGATCGAGCTCTGGATCCAAGCTGAACCGACTCAGATGGAGACACCTGACCTCAAGACATTTGCATTTTAAATTCAAAGTCTGATTTCAGGAAGGAGCAGTGGGGAAATAAGGTCAATGGGCTCCTTATGACCTACTTCTGACAGAGGGGAGGATAGAGATGGGAGGAGAAAGGGAAGCAGCACCAGGAAGGAGAGACACCGTTATATGAAGGGGAGACAGAGAGAGAAAGAGACAGAGAAAATGGGAGACAGATGACAGATCATCACAGAGAATAAAAGCCACACTGCAAGAAAACACATCCAGCTTGCTTTGCACACATCACGGGATTGTAATGTGCCACATCTTTTCCAGAAATTACTTTAGCAGGCAGTCTTTTTGGGGGTGGAAGGGGGCAAGGGGGATCTGATGGAGATGAAGGAGGCAGAGGAAACAGGTGGGGGTCACCAGGGCTTGGGAGCACCTGGGGTGTTCTTGGGTAGTGGAATCTCATGCCAGCAGCAAGAGATGGGAAAACCAAGCCAGGTGTGTTTAAAGAGTGAAAGTGGCCTCCTTATTCATACCTCCTACAAACATAACATATTTAATATATAAATAGAACAGACCTGTTTGCATGAATATGCAAACATCATGTTTCAAAAGATAGAAAAACAGATGGTGCACTATGGCACCAGAATGGTTGTAAACATATTGTTATAAATAGTTTCCTCGAAGCTTAGGTAATTATTCAGAATTCATTTATAAACATGAATGTCCAGGAATGTGTGAAACTTGATACCCCACAAAAAATCCATAGTTTGCTACTTGGAATCAATGGGCCTCATTCACCAACCGTTCTTACGAACAAATGTGTTCTTTAACCCCACGTCAGGGGCGTAGATTTAGGGTGGATGGAGGGGATGTGTCCCCACCAATATCCT